CTATGTGGCCTGGGACAAGCCTGTTTCCACTACATGCCTCAGTTTTCTCATGAAGCTAATGAAGATTAAAAAGAGTTTATATTTAACAAAGCCATTGTGAGGATGAAAGGAGATAATAACAGTGAAGTGGCTACCGAGCCCAGAGTAAGTGCTCAATAAATGTGAGCACTTGTTTTCTCACCGCCTCTTTGATTACTCCTTGTGCAGCAAGAGACAGGATTGCCCACTGAATGACCCTGGAGGTTCTATCGGGGTTGCCAGGCAACGAGCTATCTGGGACCAGTGGCTCCCCCTCCTTGAGCCGGGGAAGCTGTACAGGATTTCAACTTCACTGGGCGCTGGTAGCTGACATTCCAAGACAGCTCCCAGAACGGCTGCCTCCTGAGCCTGCATTGTTGACACGGCAAGCTCCCGTGCTGGCTCATTCAAGGGGGAGAAGGGTAGGGAGTGGGAACACAAACACCCTGTGCCCTGGTTCCTTGCACTCTTCTTGGTGCAAGGGATGAAGAGGTGAGACCATGTATCTCACCTTGCTGGCTGTGAATTTCTCATGAAACCTGCGCTCTGCCCATCATACATGATGCGGTGTTTTCCTTTACCTAGGCCCCCACACCCTGCCCTAAACTGACTCACTCCTTCTCGTCTTTATTCTCCCAGAGCGTGTCCCAGGGTGAGTCCTCTGCCCCCTTCTAGATCCGGCTATGCCGGCTCCCTCATGATTTCATCTGCTGCTGGGGGGTTTCAGTGTCACCCTTGTGCTGAGGACCCCTGTCCATGACTCGTCCTCAAGTTCCAGGCCTGGCTGGACTTTGACATGTGGACCTGGTACATTAAACCTCCCAAATGTTCAAAACTGAATTAAGTTTGAGTTTTCTTTCCCCTTAGCCATGAAAATAAACAGAAGAGAGAGAGAGAGAGAAAGAAAGAAAGAAAGAAAGAAAGAAAGAAAGAAAGAAAGAAAGAAAGAAAGAAAGAAAGAAAGAAAGAAAGAAAGAAAGAAAGAAAGAAAGGAAGGAAGGAAGGAAGGAAGGAAGGAAGGAAGGAAGGAAGGAAGGAAGAGAGAAAGAAAGAAAGAAAGAAAGAAGAAAGGAAGGAAGGAAGGAAGGAAGGAAGGAAGGAAGGAAGGAAGAAAGAGAGAAAGAAAGAAAGAAGGGGAGGAGGGGGGGGGAGGGGAGAAAGAGAGAAAGAAAGAAGAAAGGAAGGAAGGAAGGAAAGAGACTTGTCCTTCCTATTCTCATTAACTTGGTAGCTTTTCTTGCCTCTATCTGGTCATCCTGACTAAACATCTTAAGGTGCTCCCTGCTCCCCGACAGCCAGTCATTTGGCACAAGCATCCTAGTTAGAGCGTGTTGCCCCCTCCTCCCTCCTCTCTCAGTGCCTGTTCCCCACCAGGACCAGTGGTCTGGTCTCTTTCTCCTGGACTCTATCCTGCATACTCTGGTTAATTTTCCTCTGCTGCCCAAAGGCTGCCCGTGGCTCCTTATTACCTATGTGATGCTAAGTAAAAATTAAAAACCTGCCAGTAAATAAACAACTCATTGCAGGTATTTTTTTGTCAACATTAAATATTTTGAATATTTAATTATATTCAAATATTCAAATATTTAATTATATTAAATATTCAAAGTATTTATATAGGATGTTTAGTCAGGATGACCAAATAGAGGGCAAGAAATTATATTAAATATTTTGAGGATTAAACTCTTTTTAATCTTCATTAGCCTCATGAGAAAACTGAGGCATGTAGTGGAAACAGGCTTGTCCCAGGCCACGTAGCCAATAAATGGCCCCGACAAGACTCGAACTCAAGGCACCTGGCTTCAGAGCTCAGGCTCTGAATATTTGACCTCCTCACCTGGCTTTTCAGGCTCTCGGAAAAGCAGTCCATGACTAAGACTCATCTGCCTCCGGTTGGCTGTCTACACTCCGGTGAAGCTCGTACTTCCTTCCCTTTCTACACTCCCTCCAATCCATGGCGCGGCCTGAGCGGACACCCTCAGGAACCCCCCCTCCCCCAGCCCGGTCTCAGTCCTGCACATCTACCAGGCGCATCTCAGATGGCCCCTCTCTCTGGGGAAGGCGTCCTGGGAGCCGGCCTCCATTCACACTCTCAGAGCAGAGGTCTGACCTTGGTAATTATCATCCCCTGAACCTTTGTCTAATTCTCCCAGTAGCGTGTGTGCTCTAGCGACTGAGGGCCAGTTTACACAAAGTGGTGCCGCTTTGGCCCTCAGGGCATGTCCGTTGATTGAACTGAGCAGGGGCTGATTTGCCTGGGGAGGAGAAGACGCAGAGGAGCAGGGGACTGGCTTCGGGTGCCTGTAGGGGTGTTCGGCGTGGATTTTGAGCATGGCTCCAGCGGGACAGAGCTCAGACCAGCCTCTCTGCCTCCTGGGGGTATCCTGGGTCCGCAGTGAGAGCAATCTCTGGGGAGTGTGAGCTTTATAGCACCCATCCAGGGTCTGGATAACTCACCATTTCCTACCTTGTCTCTCCTTATCTGTCTGGCTCTTTGAAGGCCAGGCTCACAAACACTGTGTAGCAATCAGGGAAAAGACATGTCGAGCATTTGCTGCCATCTAGTGGACGAAGTGTGTCTCAGCCTCTTGCAAAAATGAACCAGACCCTGTGCTCTCCCCAGGAGCTGGCTCCAGGAGTCCCGCCAGCCCCTGCGAAAGGGGACCATCTGAGGGTGAACAGGTGTCTGCGGGAAGGGCCAAAGTTTCTGCACACAACACGTCATATCTAAGCCCCTAAACTGCAATCTGGAATGGGCAAGGCCACACCTTCCCAGATCCTCCCCTACCTCCACTCAGGAGGTATCCTTCCTGGAACGATGGCCAGCCATCTTTTTCAGAAAACTCCGTAGGGATCTGCAAAACACCCAGAGTTCATAATCAGAGGCATCTTTTATGGAAGACATAGCTCAAGCAGAACTGGCCATAACATTAGAACCGGTGATTTCCAGAGGCCCTTCCAGCCCCGTGTGGGAGCCCCTGTGTCCATGTCTCAAAGGCTGACTGCTCCTGGGACACCCCTTCCCTCCCCTCCCCGCTGCCCCAGCACAGCACAAAGGCTCAGGCTCCACCAGGCAAGTGATGGTGCACTCACTGGGAAACTGAGAGGTACAAATGAGATTATTCACGGCAAATGCTCAGCTGGTGCCTGAACACAGCAACCGCTACGTAAAAATTAGATATTAACGATGATTAGATAATGATATTATTAACTTTTGCCAATGCTCCAGAGCACAAGACTGCCTACAAAACTCAGGAAACTCAGGCCCTGGACATGAATACATTGAGTCATGGATAGATCTTGTCCACACTGAAAATAATCACCCCTCAGTGCACTGCAGTGTCTGGCACTGGCCTTCCCTCCACTGGACAGTCAGAAGCAGCCAGAGGCTCAGACCTCAGACTCCAGGCTGCTGATAGAAACATCAGCTCCCTGTTTGAGGTACAGGATTCCAGGGCGATTTCTCCAGGGTTTTCCCCACTTAGATTATCACAATGTGTGTTCTTTGTCCCCAGTCCAGTCTTTTTGGGGTATGCCAGCCTTTGGGCATGCTCAGTTTTCAGGGAGGTCCTGGGCTACCCCTGGCACCAGGCCCTCTCGTTAGGCCTGGGTTGTTCTCTGGGCGGCATGTCATGCAGATATCCAGCCAGAACTAAGTGTAGTGTTCATCAAATGGCTACGATACCCTGCTCACCGCTGTGTCTGACGGTGTCCCCACCCTGGGGTCCAGGTGCTGCTCTGAGGGTGCTTTCTCTGTCAAAGGTGCCCACTATAGATTTTTAACCAGAGTCCAGTGAGGTTTTCTTATTGGTTCCAGCCAGTGGTGTGCGGGGGCTAGCTCAAGGCAGCTCATGGCACCTGATGGTGAACATTTCTTCCCAACTCCATGTTCGGAAACACCATGTTGGTAGCTTGAAATCAGCCATGATGGAAACATTCACCACGGAAATCAGTAAATGCTACAAATCCTGGTTTATCTCCCTTTTTAAAAAGATTTTTATTTACTTATTTATTTTTAGAGAGAGGGGAAGGGAAGGAGAAAAGGAAACCTCAATGCGTGGTTGCCTCTCATGCGCCCCCTATTGGGAACTTGGCCTGCAACTCAGGCATGTGCCCTGACTGGGAATTGAACTGGTGGTCTTTTGATTCAAAGGCAGGTGTTCAGTTCACTGAGCCACAGCAGCCAGGGCTCTTTTTTTCTTTTCCTGAAGAGCCAACTTTATACACTTATCAGTGTACCACTTGCTTCCTCCTTTAATTCCAAGCAAAGCACTACACTTTAACCACTACTTATACAACCACTGAACAAGAGGCTTTTTGGTGTACTATCTGAATAAAATGCAAAATGAAAGTCTTTCTTATTTATTTATTTATTTATTTATCCAAATATATATAACAGAGATTGTAGCTGGTGAAATATAGGGTGGAATTGACAAGTCAAGATCATGCTTTTAGGTTTGAAATAAATTCAAAATATTTAATGTTGGCAAAAAAATACCTGCAATGAGTTGTTTATTTATTGGCAGGTTTTTAATTTTTACTTAGCATGCAAAAGAGCTATATGTGATAAGCCACATTCTTGCATTGAGGAAAACATTAAACAAAGGTATTGGATAACATACCTCAAAACATATGGAAAAACACAATTTAAATGTTTTTTTTGTTTCTCATTCTGTTTTGACATAATTTGAACTGTGTTTCAATCCTAACATTAGTGTTCCTCTACGGTCCTTCCTAGCACCTGCTTTCTCATTAAAACAGTACCAGTAACTGGTTGTAGCCAGGCAGTCTTATCTGATAACACTGTAAAAACCACTCGAAGGGAACCTCGAAATACCACTCTTTTAGCCAGGAAAAAAAGAAAACAGAATAGTTAATTCAGTGAGTCCACTGTTCTTTCATACACTGAGCTGTGGGTCCCTGGAGCTCAGAGGCTGGAGGTGAGGCTGCGAGGCTATGAAGTCGGGGTGACAGTGAGGGGCTCAGTCGCAGTGGACCTTGCCCTCAGCCACCCCAAAGCCGGACAAGTCTCCTGTACAGAGTGTCTGGGGGGGTGAATGAGGCCTGTCTTCCAAGGCGCACTTGGTCATCTTCACCCTGTACTTTCGAAAGGCCTTTTGTATAACAGCAGCACATTTCTCCTCTTCCTTCCTCTTGGTGGTGGTGACTATAGGCTCATATAACTTCTTGAAGGGGTTGGCTTCCATGAACTTCTCCTCCATCATCGCTTTCATGCTGTCCAGGCCGCTGGAGTTGCCGAGTACCCTAGTGGTGAAAGCGAAGAGAATATCCAGACAGTGAAGGCGATCTCCGCTTACCATGGGCAAGTCCATGACTAGAAATTGAAACTTATTTGGCTTCGCCACCCGCAAAGGCTCCGGAAGGGCATCGGCAAAGTCAGAAAGGACAGAATATTTGATAAACTGTGTTGCTCCTGGATCAAACTTTTCCCAGACTTCATAGAACATTTCAAAGTCATCTTCACCCAAAGGGTCCTCACTTTCTTCAGTGGCTATATTGAAGTTTTCTAAAATCACAGCAATATACATGTTGACAACAATGAGAAAGGAAATGATGATGTAACTGACGAAGTAGGTTATGGCTTTGGTAGAGAGGTGACAGTCATCTACCTTGGGTTCACATGACTCTTCTGTTCGCAGCATGGGTTTGAGGAGGGAATCCCAACCTGCTGAGGTGGTTATCTGGAAGAGACAGAGCAAGCTGCCTACAAAAGTCTTAAAGTTGAATATCTCATCAATTCCATCGCCCGGACCTACTTTGCAAAATAAGTTCATACCAAAAATGGCATAAATAAACATCACCAGAAAGAGGAGAAGACCGATGTTGAACAGAGAGGGAAGGGACATCATCAAGGCAAAAAGGAGAGTCCTGATTCCTCGAGCTGCCCGAACAAGCCTCAGGATTCTGCCGATCCGAGCCAAGCGAACAATTCGGAAGAGGGTTGGAGGGAAAGGAATGTTCTTATTGTTTTCTATGGCAGAAATCATTGTACCTTAGGAGAAGGAGAAGAGGCTATGAATTTCCAGCAGGCACACCGGGTTCAGACCCAAACTGACTCTCTTGCCTCAGAATCTTAGTGGGAGCAACTTTTATTGACACCTTTTACTTTATGCACAAAATTAAGAAGTTTCTTTACCCATATAAGAGAAAATACCTTTCTGTTCATTAACTTGGAAAACAATATCCAAAGGCCATACAGTTGTAGATGGGATAGGATATCCAAAATAGTAAAGACCCCAGGAAAGAAAAGAAAACGCAGCTTGTGAAGGGCTATTTTGTGGGTTATCTCAGGCACTTGAAGTATATTATCTACATTGGGCATTTAAAGTCATTCATGGAGTAACAAATTTAACAATGTTCCACATTTACTGAACGTATAGAATGTAAAACAGACAAACTACAGACGGAGTCTTCTAGATTAGAGTGTAAAGAGAAGTTTCTTCTAACGATGCTTGGTTTGGGCCTAAGCAATTGGTGGAAATTGTGGAACCCCTAACCTCAAAGTTCCTTAAAGGGACAGGTTCTTATCTGTTTACAGGAATTTGAACACAGCCTGACACCGGTGAGGTCAGGGCTGGAGGAAGACGGTGGTGTTAGGATGCTCGTCTCTGGGCTAAAGCTTCCATGGATCTCTCATATTAGCTAACATGTTAATTCCAAGGACTCCACAAGTGCAAATTCAAAAAGGTTTAAGGGACTAAATTGGAGATACTGTCTCTGTTGTTGTAGATACCCTAGAAAGGGCATCTCAAACAGAGGTTTCTGCAAACTGCCTAATATTTGGCCCAAACTGTCACCCTGTTCTCTCACTGTCTACTCTGCAGGCAAGTGAAACAAAATTTAAAGCAACCCACATTTTGGTCCACATAGCAATACTACAGAATGGCTGCCACATGCTTGATTTGGGCAGACACGGCCTTGCTCTGGCGGTCCTCTAAGGCAGGGGCCCCCGACCTCCCTCCTCCCTGTCCGTGGACGCCGCTCGCTTTACTGCCTGAGCTCTGCATCCTGTCTCTCCACCCAACCCTGGTCCATGGAAAAACTGTCTTTCACAAAACTGGTCCCTGCTTCCAAGCACATTGGGGACTGCTGCTCTAAGGTCTTTAAGAGTGAAGGGCAGCCAAAACTACCTGCCATTACCTAATGACTAAAGAGAATGAACTTATGGCATACTTCAATGACTGTCCAATTGTGCCAAAGAAGTTTAATTCATATGTTAATTGGGCACCCAACCCTGGTGAGATGTGGAAGTTATTAAGTCCCAACTCAGCAAAAACTGGAGGAGGTCCATCCTTTAAGGCTCACCTCTTCCATGAATAGTTCTTTGATTAATCAAGTCCACAGTAATCTCTCCCATCTCAGAGCTCAATTCGTCTGTGTACCATGTAATTTGGTGTTCAATTGATTTTTCTATCTTTTCCTGACTCCTTAAGGTGCGTAGGTCTATCCCTGGTCAGGTAGCTCAGTTGGTTAGAGCACTGTCCCAATACATCAAGGTTGCAGGTTCACAGGGCACATACAGGAAGCAACCAACGAATGTATAAATGAGTGAAATAAAAAATCAATGTCTCTCTCTCTTCTGTCTCCCCCTTCCTCTCTCTAAAATCAATCAATAAAAATTTTAAAGAAATTTTTAAGGTGATTATGTCTTAATACCTCAACTGGATTGTTAATGCCTAGAGAGAGATTCGCTTTGTATTTCTCTAAAAGCTTAGGAAAAAGCTTGAGAGAGTGTAGAGGCTAAGGTGGTGAATAGCAGACCTACTGGCAAAGGCATATAAAATGCTGCCCACATTGGTGAGCAGGATTTGGCTCAATGTGCGTATTTCCTCAACTATTGGAGCAAAATGCTATCCAGTGCTATGCAGTGTACCTGCAACTGCCTGATGTTTGTTCAAAGGACAGAAGTCAGAGATATTTCCACCAACTGTACATGCCTGGCACTGCCTGGATGGAGTTCAATAAATAGTGGAATGAATGAGCTGCTCTCTGCATATTGGAGGAAGGGCTCTAACGCTCTTCGAGGGCTGCCCCAGACCCATCCTCCCACCATTGTCTAGCTCAGTTGCTTCTGTCAATTTCACCAGAATTTGAATTGACTAATAAAGATTAAAGGTCTGTTTAGCTGTAAGCCCATGGAAGGATCTACTGGTAAATTTTACCTACATAAACTTCATGGCCTAGAAACCAGAACAGCCTTTGAACTGTGCCATTTTCACGCTCTCTGAAAAACTTCATTGCTGCTGTAGTGATAGGAACTAAAATATTTTGATCCAACATATCTGCTTAAGGCATCCTTTCTGAAATAGCACAAAAGCTTCCCCCTGCGAAATCAGTTGTCATTGTCTTCACTGTTTTTGATTTATTAGAAGGGCCCCTGGGCAGTTTTATACAATTATAAAAAGTCAAATTATTGGTTTAATTAAAAGAAGACTTCAAAAAACCAGAGTAAATGCTATGGTTTAGCCACGAAGAATAAAGATATATGGCAATAATCCTCTTTCCCCCACTCCATTCTTCTTTCATAAACCCTAGAGTTCATCCTGCCTATGGTTGGGGAAACTCTACACTGATGATAGAGTGAGGCTGGTTGGCGAATGGGGCCCAGGCAGCTGAGACAAGCAGAGTTCACACCCTGGTTTACGGTAACACAGGATATGAAGGAAAGAGAAAGTACCGCTTGGCCTTATGACACACTTGTGGCGCCCCAATTTAGGATGGGTCATAGAGGCCTTGTACAGGCGGTAAGGGAAGGCCTGACAATGTCACAAGGGCATAATAATTGTGATCTGACATTCACATGGATTTTGAACTAAAGAAAAACATGGAAACTAAATGCCAAATCCTTAAAATTATAAAATGTTCATTAAGGCTTACAGTTGCACAGGAAAGGTAGAACTTTGACTCAATTACCTAGATAAACCAGGTGTCCCCACAGAAACTTTTTAGTCACCTTAATCTTGTCTATCTCCATGGGATAAATGGCCCACGCTATCTTTAACTCTCCATTTCAGTTGTGTAGGCAGTCAAGGGAATGGGAATTACTTTGCCTCTCCTGGCAACTTCCCAGTAAAGAATGGCATCAGCACCCCTATGTTTTCAGAAATCACATTGAGAAGAATTTATTGCCTTGTGGATAGTAAGATTTGCAAATTTACTTCTGGCGCTCAGATTAAAACCCCTCTGGCTGATCATTTTACTTACTAACAACAGAAAGAACCACGATCACACAATCGAATAAATTCCAGCCATTGGAGAAGTAGTATTGCCTCAAAGCGAAGATTTTGATGAGACACTCAATCGTGAAGATGGCCACAAAGGCCAGGTTGAGATATTCAAGGACGCTCTTCTTCTCCGGAGGCTGGTCATACGATTCAGCCATCATGCTAACCATGTTGAGGAGAATGAAGATGATGATGATGCCATCGAAGACCTGGCTTGTGACCAGGTCAAACACGAGGCCTTGGCATTTGTTCTGAGGAAAAACAATGAAAGGAACCACAGATCACTTTGAGATGTAAGGATGAAATCACATAAATAAAAAAAAGCACGTAAAACAGAATTTATTCTCTTACAATTAAAGCAGATTTTTGAAAAAATGCAGAGATTCTTTTTAAAGGGCAAAAAAATTCTTGTATACCTATTTTCATTTAAATTTAATTAAATAACTGGATTTTAAGCTGTAGCCTTATAGCTTTAATTTTAAAACGAAAAGTATAAATAAGAAATTCTTAGTAACAACATAACTTTGATGTGATGGATGATGTTTTGCTAAAATAAAATAGCTGATGTTGGGTTTAATAATAAAAAGATAAACTTTGGCTCTATGTTTTATCTGTTTATATTTTGACTTAAATGATATTCATGCAGAAAATACCTGCTCACATAATTATGTTGGACAAAATGGAATTATCATCTCCAAGTCTCCATTGTTAGTTCAGAGTAATCAAACCTTACACTTAACTAAAACTTTACATTCAAGAAATTCTTAAATATCAATTTTCTAATTCTTGCTCACCTGAAGATAAGGCTAGATAAATGGGATTCTGATCCAATGATTACTAAAAAAGGAAACAGAAAAGCTGATTGTTTCATGTTATTACTGATAGTGAACTTGCACAGTGGTTTGTACATAGATAGCCACACTGCTCACAAAATGAGCATGTGCTAATTGCTCTGTATAAACTCAAGTCTGCACGCCTAATCTACCATGGGCAGTGGAATGACTAATTATTCCACTATTTTCTTTAGTCTAACTACTATGAAACATCACTTTGTTTTTTAGTGGAAAAGTTGTTCTTAAACGCAAACTCAGACACTGATATTGTATGTTGTTCTTGGCTATACATTGGTTGTTTTACAATATATTGTATATATTATATTATATTACATTATAATCATTTAATCAAAGTGTACAGATACTATTCTATTTAGGGATCTCATAGACACCTAAGAATTCATCTCAGAACCCCAGGCACCTGTTACGGTAATCCAAGCAAAAGATGATGCTGGTTTGTGGTGGTAACAGTAGAGAAAGATATAAGCATTTTGGTTTAAGACCTCATAGAGTCAGAGAAGGTTTGCAGAATAGCTGAAGCCATCCTTTCTGGTTGGTGGAACCATTCAACCAGCCAGAGAACAGAGGATAAGGAATTCTGGAAGGAGATGAGTTTGAGGTGCCAGTGGGCATTCCAGGGCCACAAGCTAGTACAGGTATGGGTTTGGAGCTCAGGAAGGGTGGTGGGATGCAGGTGTGAAGTTTATTGGTATTAATGTTGATATGAATTAAAACCAAGAGAATGAATGATATCGGCAGGGAGAGCAAAGGCAATGAGAAGAAAGACAGTAGGGACAGCATTGGAGAGATACTACATTTAACTTAGTATCTTTCAAACTTTGCATCAGGAACACTGAGGCTATTCAAGGAGTCTGGAGAAGAAACTTGAAAGTCAAGTGCATTTCCTATGTAAGAATGCATCCGGGAAGTCGGAAAGGACCTGGAGAAAAAACACTTTTAAGGGCACTCTCCAGGGAAGCAGAGTGAGGGGTGAAAATAAACGTGAGTGAGGGAAGGCACTGGCCTTACAGTTGAACTCTAGTATTTGGACCAATGGAGGAGGTTAAGAGTATAAGTTACCTAAAGTGGTAGATAGTAAAAAAAATCATTCTATGTATGATTTTTAAACCCATAATAAAGCCACCATGTGGGGATGCTTCCAGAAGAACTAGAAATGATTCCAGATCCCTTGTTCTACTGCTGGAAATGAAATCCATCATTACCCTGGTGCAAACAGCTATATTCACCCATCCCCACCCCCATGCAATTGCTATTAATTTGTTCCAAAGATCAAAAGATAATATTTAGATTTTAGAGATTAAGAAAAAAATTGTGGCAAGGTTAAGTTGTGAGTAAAGGGCTAACAGCTGATGTTAAGACTTAGATCCAACTCAGGGACATGTGGGGATATGACATTGGATTTATCTCATGCAACCTTGATCTCTGGAATACAGGAATTAAGATACATATGTGGTGTTCATTGGTGAGATTGTACTTTGTTACTGGAATCATTCATTGTGAAGCCTCAACTGGTGACCTATAAGCTACCCAGGGAGGGCTGTGGCCTGGCACCTACCCCCCAGATGAGCCACATGACAAACATGCTAAAAAAGGTAGTTAAGGAATGGAGGGTGGCAGCTTCCCTCCTGTACAGTAGCCCACACCCACTTCAAATTCATCTTTTGCACCGTCACATGTCCAGTGCAGTGGAGAGGCCTAGCAGCTACATGTATGTCACTAAAACTTCTGTTTGGCTGTGAGATGCATTGCTAGGTTCATATCCTTCAAAAAATAAACTGCTAAATATGGGGAGACATGTTGCATCTTAGGACCCTTAGTTGATTCCAAACCTGGGATCAACTGGTGTTGAGTTAGTGGCTACAGAGCATACACATGTAAATAAAAATTCTCTTTGGTTTTTTGTGTTGGCTCAAGTTCAGATAAGAATTTCAAACTGAAATTAGCCCTAGAAAGTGAGATTGGTACTTACAATCTAGATTTGATTTAGGTAAATTGAAGTTCCACCTACTATTAATAGATTAAACCTCTCCAAATATAATTTTATCATTAACTCTGTAGGCAAAAATTCTTCATTGTATAAACTCCAGACACTTGGCCCTGATACTCACAGACATTTTTAGTGCAACTCAAAAACTTAATCCTGGCAGGATGGACTCTGCGCATGTTCTAAAATGCTCTTCCACTCAACAAAAAAGCACAAAGCGCACGCCTGATGCCATGCTCTATTCTGAGTGCTGGGAACAGCAGTGCATTGAACACACTTCTGATAATCTTGGGTCTTAGTTCACAGGAAAATCTCAAAATCCTCCACATGCTTCAGTTTTTAAGCCCTCCTTCCACACGGCTTTCTATGTCCAGGCTTTTCAGCCATCACTGACCCCTCCCCACCTAGAAAGTCTTCAAACTCACTTGTCAGAGCTACCAACAGTGCTTGTTTTCTTACTTTGTCATCTAACGCCCTTAAACCCCAGCTCTCCAATGAGGCCGTAAGCGCAGAGCAGCCCTCTCACATCTGGGAAAGCAGGGCTCACAGGAGGCAGGGTCAGCAAACTACAGCCCGCAGGCCCAGTCTAGCCCGCCACCTGTTTTTTTGTAGAACCCAGGGGCTTCGCCATGGGTTTTACATTTTCAAATGTTTGAGGAAAAACCCAAAAGAAGAATAAAGTTTTGACATATGGAAAGTATATGAAATCTAAACTTCAGTGTCTTTAAATCAGGTTGTATTGGCACACAGCCACGCACACTTGTTCTGTGTTGGTCGTGGCTGATTTTGTGCTTATGGGTGAGCTGAGTAGCAGTAGTAGCGGAGACCATATGGCCTGCAAAGCCTGAAATATTTACTGCCTGGCCTTTTACAGAAGAAGTTTGCCAGTGCCCGATATAGAAAGTTTATCATAAACACTTGTGAAGTGGAAATGAGTATGCATGACCTCATCTTCACAGCAGAAAAAGTTGACAAATGATAATATAAATACATTTTAAACTGGTCAAGATAAAACAGTGCACTAAGTTCCTGTCATTGCAATGCGTATATACCCAGCACCTATTGTATGCTCACTAAAAAGCAAATTAAAGTTGTTGCCCAGACTCTTACTACTGAATATAAGAGTCTAATTTTCCTAAGGACTTGAGCCATACATCAGTGTATCTGGGTCTTTAGTGAGTTCTCGGACAATGTCTGTAAATTTTAAAAATTAAAAAAGAACAGCAGTGTAGACATCTGAGTTCCTCCATAGCCACTTACTGGATCTACGTATTTAAAATCAATCAATTGTTCTCACCAGAGGCCTTGGAATAGGCTTTTGAGGTTTTTTGGATCCTAGTTTTTTCATTGCATTATAGTATTTCTTCTGTTCATCTGTCAGAAAAATGTCTTGGCCACCTAAGTATATGAAGAAGATGAAAGCTAATTATTAACAGATTTTTAAAAACAAGTTCTTAATTGTCAGAAATAGATTTAAAGTTATATTATACTTCTATCAATAATTCCTAAAATTCCAATGGGAAGCAAAAGAGGTCAGACTCTAGGGGAGGGCTGAAAGAGAACAGGGTTTAAGTTAAGGAGTAAGGGAGCAATGTTACTGTTATGTAATTTTAGAACATAAACAAAGGTTACAAATTCTTTGCAAATATCTACAGAAGCTTCACAAAACTGGATATATCTCAGGTTGCATAAATCAAACCACAATGCAACAAAAATACTAAAAAATTTAAACAAAAATCCCAGAAAGTGGCAATTAAAATTCTTCTAAAAAAAATGAAAGCATACCTCACTACTAATAAAATATCACAGAATCTGTCCAGAGCCATTCTCAAAAGTAAAAATTAGCTTTACATGTTTTCACTACTGAGCACAAAAGAATAGAAAAATGACCTAGGATTTTCATTCCTGGAATTTTGGGGGAAGTACAATATTTAGAAATCATGGATAAAGCAGAACAAAATTCCTTTAAAGCATATAGCTGAACTTGTAGAAAAGTAAGAAAAACCTCTGGGGTCTGAACATCAAGAACGAACTGAAAGACAGAGCAGTAAATTAATTCTAAAGCCACAGCTGGCCCAAGAGCATATACTAACCTCCGTAAAAATTAGAATCTTGGGCTTTAATAACTACAAAGGGTCATGGGAAAAAAGGCAGGGGGCTTATGCCTACGTCCCTGCAAGAACCTGGGACTCTGCATGTGCTGCCAATGAAAAGGTGAAGAGAACAGAATTTGGTGGCAATGAAAGACAACTCGGAAACTGTCTCAGTCTGTACTATGGATAAAAACACAGTCTTTCCTGATGATTTGTGAATCCAGGCCTGCCTGGATGAGGGTACGGGGTTTGAAGTTACACTCCCAGTATGGCCCCAAAATATATGGCCCTACAATAGTCTTTTCAAAGACTGGGAAAACTAGTGCTGGAAAAACTGGATATCCACATGCAAAAGAATAAAAGTGAATCTTTACCTAACTCCGTATATAAAAATGAACTCAAAATGGATCAAAGACATAAATATAAAATCTAAAGCAACAAAATTCTAAGGAAAAAACAGAGGATAAAAGCTTGATGACATTGCATTTGGCAATAATTTCTTGCGTATGACACCAAAGGCAAAAGAAAAAAATAGACAAACTGGATTTCATAAAAATTTAGTGCATCACGGAAGGACACGGGTTGTTTCCATGTCTTGGCCACTGTGAATGACGCTGCAATGAACATAGGGGTACATATCTCTTTACAGACCAATGTTTTCAAATTATTTGAGTAGATACTCTGAAGAGGGATTGCTGGGTCATATGGTAGCTCTATGCTTAAATTTTTGAGGAACCTCCATACTGTTTCCATAGTGGCTATACCAATTTACACTCTTTTGATGGATGATTGGATCAAGATACTATGTGTATCTTGTACATGTTTGGATCTCTGGACAACATGGATGGATCTTGAGAATGTCATGTTAAGAGAAGTGAGTCAGATGGCAAAAAAAGTCAAGAACCATATGATTTCACTCATATGTGAATACAAAACAGGAAGCCACAAATGGACAAATAGCACAAACAAACAAAATGAACTTGAAGACATTACATGGAATAAGCCAGTCACAAAAGGACAAATACTATGCTTACACTTAGATGAGGTACTTAGAGTAGTCAAACTGAGAGGGACAGAAAGTAGAAGAGTGGCTGCCAGCAAGTAGGGGGGAAGGAGAATGGGAGTTATTGTTTAATGCGTTCAGAGTTTCGGTTTTACAACACAAAGAGTTATGGAGATAGATGACGGTGATGGTTGTACAACATGATGACTGTATTGAATGTCACTAAACTGTACACTAAGATGGTAAATTTTGTATTACGTGTATTGTACCACAGTGAGAAAAAAAAAACTGGAAAAAGAAAAGAGAGCCCTGGAAGTTAACTAGGTTGTTTCAGGATGCCTGGCAGACACAAGTGTCTTCAGTAATCCTATGCATTATGATGGTATTACTACTACTTTTCTGAGACTGTCCTACCTGTGTGTTGTGGGATAAAGAAAATGAGTAATTACGGAAAATTCTGATGCTATTCTCTCTTGTGCCCATGAGAACCATGTTTCTCAGTGTAGAATACAGGTGTATAGATTAAATGAAAATCTCAGAGTCCAGAATTTGAATGATCGGAGTTCATATTTCCACATTAATCTTTCCCAGTAGTCCTAAATTTGATTAGCTGTGTCCTGTCCACTGGAAAGTCCTTGAAAAATGATGATGACCATTCCAGATTGTGGTCTTGGAACATTATCTCATGCCACAAAACCAGCACTCCTCACTAGCTCTCCAAGCAAGGAAGCTGTCAGATGGGAGGAACTTATTTGAATCCTGATTTGAAAAGAAACAAAGTTTACATCAATTAATTAATGAAAGAATAAATAAATATTTTAAGAAAATGAAAGACTGGAGGAAATTTGAACATGGACTGGGTATTTGACAAATTTAAAGGATTTGTATTAGCCTTTTTAGGTGTGATAATAGAATTGTGGTTATGGTTAAAAAAAGATGTGTTCTGCCCTGGCCAGTGTGGCTTAGTTGGTTGGGCACCTGACTGCAAATGGAAAGGTTGCCGTGTGATTCCTGGACAGAGCGCATGCCTGGGTTACAAGTTTGATCCCGAGTCGGGGTGTGAGCAAGAGACAACTGACCGATGTTTCTCTCTCACATCAATGTTTCTTTCCCTCTTTTTCTCCCTCCCTCAAATATCTGTGGGTGAAATGATATGATGTTTGTGCTTTGTTCTATTTTTAAAACTCTGGTGGCAGGATTGGGTGAAGTCATAGGTAGCATAAGGATGTTCTTAAATCAATAAAAGTTGTGATGGGTGAAGGGTATTTTGGGTTCATTTTACTATACTTTTGTGCCTGTTTAAAACTTTCTGTAATACAAAGTAAAACAAAACAAAATTGCTATGGACTGATCAAAACAGTGATTTCAAATGTAAGCTGAAATCTCAAATCACAAGGCCTGATTCCAAATTGCAGGCATTGATTGCAATCAAGCTGCATGTTACAGAGGTGACTCCACATAGCACACTCCTGAGTACACTGGTACCTCGATGCTCATCGTTATTTTGTTCCGGAACTCGTGCTGCGTGCCAAAACTGACGGACACCAAATGATGAAGTGTTTTCTCTTGCAGGGGCGCTGTGGTGACTCATACAAGTTTAGCAAGTGCAGTGAGTGCCATCCCAAGCAAGCGCCGAGTTATGAAACTTTATTTTTTCTCATCAAAATGCAACAAGTACAGGGTTTGACAAGTTCTTAAGCTAAGGAGTACTGGGGTATGACTGTAACAGCAGTGATAGAGTTGAGTAAGGACGGTGTGTGGCTCTTCATGCAAACACTAGGAGGGTTCATCAGTATCAAGATACATTGTAGATGGCTTAAAAGAGCTCAACAGAAAACTAAAAAAAAAAAAAAAAAAAAAAAAAGCAACCCTGCAAAAAATTGGAAAACCAAAGGTTAAGTATTTAGTTACCTGGCTTTAGAACTCATGAATGCAAGAGAAAAAGTCAAAAAGGTCAAGAGTTGCAGTTGGATTCCAATATGCTAAAGGTCTATAAGTTAAAAACATCATTACAAAAATACAATAAGCAAGTCACAAATTGGACATACTATGTAAAAACATAAGAAAAAATGACAATCTCGATTTTAAAAAGACACAAAGGCTAAAACATAATTCTTAAAAGAGAAATACCTATGGCTACCCTCCTGTGAAACCCTGTATAACCTCACAGATGACCACATAAGTGAATATAAAATAATGGGATAACACTGTTACCAATCAGCTAGAAAAAAATTATAAAAATCAGAATGATGAAAAAAGAATGAAGAGACATTTTCATATCTTACAAAAAGGGGTTACCCCGCACTATTTCCAAAAGGCTATTTGACAATACCTTTAACGTCTTAAGGAAATAATCAAAGATACACAAAGAGAAGTTCAAGAATGTTCATGGTAGTTTTAGAAGAGCAAGAAATTTAAAAATGACTTAAATCTCCAAAAAAAGGGGAGGGCGAATGATAAGGATAAAATATGATATATCCATAATATGGTATGTACTTCAGCCCTGAAAATTCTTACAACAAAGATGATTTTATGACATAGGTTCCTAACTTATGGGATGGAGGGGAAGCTACAAAATTAAAAATATTGTGCAATCTTGACTGTGTAAAAGGAATACATATTGAAGTAACTAGAGGTGTTTGCACCAAAATAATGAGACAATCCAAAATGGTTAACATTTGGTGGTCACCTTATGGGTGATTTAAATTTTCTTTTTATTTTCTTTATTTTCTACATGAACTGTGAATGACAAAATCAGAGGGGAAATCTGTTTATTACAATACATGGGGAAAAAGTCTCCCTAAAAAAAGAACAACCAAAGCTGTATCTTTCCCAACTATCTTCTTTCCAAGTTATTTCAATAAATCTTCTGAGACTTGGGTGTGGGAGCGAGGGCACAAGTTTACTGAAGAGGAGAGTTTATTCTTTGTATCCTGGGTAACAGTTACGCTTGAAAGGTTATTAAAATATGACTATAGTGTCATAAATACTAATCCTGGTAGGTTTTTTTTTCAATTAAGGTACAACAATGTCCGTGTTAAAGGGTAGAATGGAGAGAAAAAACAATCGTTTAATAAAACCCAGCTGTTTTTAGTCCCTTGTAAGCCACATCTTCAAGCAGAAGGGTAGGAGGGAGGGGGTGGTGGAAGGAGGGGGGAAGGGACTAGTCAAAGACCATGTATGAATAACTCATGGACCTGGACAACGGAGAGGGGATTGACCATAGGTGAGAGGGTTGGGCTGGGTGGAACGGGGCAAAAGGGAAAAAAATTAAGACAACTGTAATAGAATAAACAATTTAAAAAGTAATAAAAAGAAAAAAGAATCTTCTCCAGGTGGCTCCCTCTTTGTTCCCATGCTGATGGTAAAGGTTACTTTGCACAACAATCTAGGCCAGAATTATGTTTCACTCAAGTGCTTTGGAGAAAAGAGGTAAAATACCAAATCAGGACAACCCCAATACTTATCTTTTTCTGCTGTTGATTGAAGTTATCAATTAAAATGCCAATAAAGAGATTCAGAGTGAAGAATGAGCCAAAGATGATAAAGATTACAAAGTATATGTACATTCTTAAGTCATTCTCATACTTTGGCTGCTCGTCCCTCTAGGAATTTTTTAAATGAGAGAAGAAAACAATTACTGGACAGATATATAAGCCATATTAACTGCCTCATCTAGAAGACCAAGTCTGTCTCAGCAGCAGCATTAACCCTTCGGCCTCCAGACTAACATGACGCCTGCAGGGAGCCCCTCAGTTTCCCCTAGCCCAGGGCACCATACAGTGGGAGGGGCACGGTCACCTTTGGAAGATGTGACTGACTACCAACTCTTACTGAACAATTATATCCTTCATACAGGGCCCACACTATATTTAGTCTATGCTTGTGTTCTGTCACTCTTAAACTCCTGGTGTCTAGCATACCTTGTTACATGTAGCATACCATGATTGAATGAATGAATGGATTGAATGAATGGCCAAGCTTCAGAATGGAAACAAATGGACTATAACCAAGCTCCCCCAGCACAAGGTGTGACCAAAAGCATCAGAGGCTAGGGTAGCATAATCAGACAGAGAGAGGTCTCTCAATATTTTTTCAACTCTCCTGTGATTTGGACATGGGGTTGTAGTCATGGGCTTGCCATCATGGGCTTCATAACAAGGAATGGAGTAGATTGCTGGGCCAGGAGACCATGTGTAGAATAAGGCAGCAAGTCGGTGTTTGAGTTCAGTAGAAGTTGAGCGGGGAGAAATGTCCATGGTTTAACCACTTATAACTTCAATATTTGAGGCCAGCAGTATGCTCTGTGAGTACACAGACAAGGGCCATCATGCCAGAAGTGAGCACACACCAGCTAGAATGTCCCAGGACCAGCGTCCGGACAGGTACCCCCTCCATACGCTCCCACCCACATATGTAAGCCACAAGCCTTTTCTATCATACATTGGCATAAGCTTTCCTCCCCCTTCCCCAGCTCTACCTCAAAGCAGATGGATGCTCAAGGTAAAATAGGGAGAAGGTCATATATTCAGATTTTTAAAACAAGTACATTAATATTTTAAAATATTTCCTTGGTTATAAATTGCCTCTACTACTCCTATAACACTACTCATAGCACCTCTATGGCTACTACCAGCTCACACGTATCAAATACCTACCATGTGTAGGACATCAACTCTGACAACTCCCAAACGGAAAAGCACATACACATGTGATGACAGGAAAAAATAAACAAGGCTGATTCCACTCTTGACTCAACCATTTGCTTTGGATAACACTCTTCCCTTTTATTACTCAATCCTCTAGCTGGGAAATGGAAATAAACTAGATTGCTGAGCATTCTTCTAACTTGGGGAATCCATAATCACTTTTTATTTAACTAGAATTCAATGGTTGACAACCACCATAACCCCTTTAGTTTCCAGCGAGCCTGAAGCCAATTTTAAGGTCAAGAGCTAGTGCCCTTTCAAAAATGGCTCCTGCTTATTCACTCATTTGGAGAAAAGGTAAAAAAAAGAAAAAAAAAATCAAGGCATCCTTTGATTCTGTTGTTGTTTCTGGCTCCATCCCCTACGTGAGTGGTTTCTCCTTGGTCACTATGGAGAAATGGGACTGGACTTTGGAGCATGATAGGAGGTAGTCATAATATCCTTGATTTGACCCTAGCACTCTAGAGCATGATAGAACACAAGCTCACCTTTCTGGCATCAACAGCTGCTTGCATAATATCTGTCCAGCCCTTAAATGTTGCCTGCATCAAAAAGCAGATAAACATGAACACAATTGTAGACTTGACATCAGCAGACAGGTGCATGCAAAAGCAAGTCAGGCGAGTAGGCAGGTGTATGTAAGATGATGTCCTGCCCTTTCAGGACAGAATGTCCAAGTAAAAGAACAGAAGGGAATTTAAAGATGAATATCTTGAATTTTTTTCCTTCTTAATTTGCACAAAAGAAAAAGTTTAAAAACAAAAGAAATGTCTGCATTAAAAATTGCCACGAAAGCTATGAACCAACTGCTGGAAAGAGCCAGTTGAAGGTGCTTTCCTAACACCACATCTGTCTGCACTATCTGTGCAAGACCTGGCAACTGGAGTTTGACCTGGGGATGATTTTCGACAGGGAAATGTTACTAATGGTGCGGTTTGGCCTCTGAGGCTCCTCTCCTCTCTGATTGGAGCTCTGAAGAACTAGGCACCATACACGGCAGGGTGAGGTGGGCAGACCCTTACAGGGGCATCACTTGAAAACCAAGGCTCAGTAGACAATAAAGTTGGAGATGGTTAGTGGAGGGCAAGTCCAGAGGCACTGACTCCCACATGAGGATTTGGGATTCGATTCTATCACCTCAAGGGAGTCACTGTGCTTTCCTCAGTTGAGAAATAATTTATGATTCTTCTGAGAGTGAAAAACAAGCTGACCACACTTACCACTTGCAGCAGGGCAAGATAAGCCATGCCCACATTGTCAAAGTTGACTTTCCGGTTGCTCCAGGTGAGATTTGCACTTATACATTGATTTTTGTTGTTAACATCGTTCAGATTTATTAATATGGACTTGTTATCTGTTTCATTCACGCATCTTCCGAATTTTCCAGCAAACAAGTTTACTCCCAGGATACAAAATATAAGCCAGAAAATGAGGCAAACAAGCAAAACATTCAGAATGGCAGGTATGGCACCTATGAGAGCATTTACTACCACCTTCAGGAAACAAAACAGGAGAAAAACATTACAGTTGTGTGAGACTCATCACGTCTTGGTCATCCCAGGATAAGCCTGACATGTGAGGCTCTGCCTCCTTGAGCTCCTTCTCTTCTCTCCACCCCCGCCCCCACCCTCTGGCAAGCCCTGCTCTCAGCTGCATAGGTAATGGGTCCTTTCCGTTCCTACCGAGGCCCGCCTGAGAAGTGTCCTCTGACGGTGGTGCTGGAGAGACCTACGGGACACCTGCATTAGGATTCAAGGGAAGCCACAGCCCGGGTTGACTGTCACAGAAGCTCTTTTAGGACAGAGACTTTATTTTACATTTTTCTCCATTTCTCAAATTCTAAGCAGTGGTTTGGCCGGTAAGGAGTCAGGAAAAGCTTGGCAATTTAAGGGAAGCCCACCCAGCTCCGGGGGGGAAAGCGCCACCTCTCCCTGCCAGCTGAAGAATGGCGCTCTCTTTCACTTGAAGAATGTACCTTCATTCCTTCAAACTGGGACAGTGCGCGCAGGGGCCTCAGTGCTCGCAGAATCCGGAGGGATTTCAATTCCTTTAAATTGATGAGACTGGTCACGGACACCTGGTGGGAAGAGAAGCCCCAGGTAGTGCACCTGACTGGGTGCCCAGAGACGCGAACGTGGGGCTGACAGCCCTTATTCGGAGAGGAAAGGTGCATTATCTGACAAATAAAAAGAAGTCTCTCATTTTAATATGTGCTTATGTGCTCACTGGTGATATCACTAGTGTGTATTTATTCATACATTTATTAGCAACTCACGTTTCAAAAGTTCCAATTCTGTAAATTGCCTGTTTGCATCCTTCTCCCATTCTTACCTTCGGTTGTCTTTTTGTCATTGTTGTTTTTCTTCTTGAGCTGTAGGGAGTTTCTATATACTGTGGGTATTAATGATCTGTTATGGGTAATGTAAATACTGTCTTCAGGCTTTGGCCTATCTTTAACTATAATTATGGTATTGTTAAAAAGAAAAACAAAAATTTATCATTTTGATACAGTTGAATTTATATATATGGTGTGGTCTCATTTTTCTACGCCAAAAAAAGCATAAAGATCATTTAATATTATCCTGATTCACAAGCAACATAAAAGGATTATTCACTCACACTCTCCCATTTAATTTGTACAATAGTGTTCTGAATGAAGCGGCATTATATGTCGCCTACCACATTACAGACACAGAAACCTGAGGCTCAGAGGATCAGCAACTTGTTTCGGGTGGAATTTGAAATCATGCCTTGGTCTGCCTGATGTTACTAAGGTTAATGACAGCAATGGTGGACCACATTTATTGCATGCTTTCTTGGGGATTTATAAAGCTATATAATTATAATATTATTTATTTTCTCATTCTACTCATTTTTTGTTCCATTCACTTGTTATCAAGGTTATCCTTATCTCATTAAATAAGTTTCCAAGCCTCCCCTCTTTTTCTATATTTTGTAACAATTTGAATAAGGTCGGGGTTAATTGCTTCTCTTAGCTCAGGCTGCTACAACAGAATACCTTAGACTGCGTGGTTTATAAACAGCAGACTGTTATTTCTAGAGGCTGGAAAATCCAAGACCCAGAGCACTGGCAGAGCCAGCGTCTGGCTGAGGGCCAGCTACCTGGTTCCTCGGCGGGTATCTTCTTCCTGTGTCTTCACATGGTAGAAGGGTGAGGAAGTCCTGTATGGTCTCTTTTATAAAATCACTAACCCTATTCATGGGGGCTCTGCCCTCATGTCCTAATCAGCCCTAAATACCAACAGATTGGGGATTAGATTTCCACATATGAACGGGGGTGGGGGAAGGGGAAATAAACATTCAGTCTGTAGCACTGCTCCTTGGAAGTTTACTAATACTTGTCTGTAAAACCACCTGAGCCGGGTGCCCTTTTTATGACAGTGTAGTATTGGATTCCTGTTTTGATATTTTAAATGGTTATTGTTAGGTTTGTTTTCCATTTCTGCATCTGAGCAAGTTGGGACGATTAGAGTCCGCACTCATTTTCATCCATATGAAAACTGATGTCAAAAGCTTAAGCACTTTGCTTAAGGTTATACAGAAAGCAAGCTGCCAAGGTAGCTTCAGGGTCCATCTTCTAAGTTCAGGCCGGTAAACCCCAGGTCCCTAGAATGGAGATACAAATAACCTGCCCACTGTCTTATGGGTTCTTCACTATAATCTAATGAGGTAACTGGTGCAGAGTGATTCGTACTCTGGACACTGACAGAGAGCTACAGGACCGACCTGTGGATGTTCCTGTTGGAGGTCCTATGACACTGGTGGCTGCACTACATGGCCTACTTGTATCCACCAACAAAATTATGGTTCTTCAGTGGGGTGTGCTGACTGCATGGCTTATGCTTATGCATTTGTCCTATCTACTTCTTTGGTAATTCTTAAAATCCCCACCCAAGGATATGATTATTGACTTTAGAGAGAGAAGAAGGGAGAGAGAAAAAGAGAGAGAGAAATACTGATGTGAGAGAGAAACATTGATCGGTTGCCTCTCGCACATGCCCCAACCGGGGATCAAACCCACAACCTAGGCGTGTGCCCTGACCAGGAATCGAACATGCGACCTTTTGCTTTGTGGGATAATGCCCAACCAATGGAGCCACACTCTCAAGGCTGGGGCTCTACTTCTTTAAATAGCATGGACAGAAGTCTAACTAACCCGATCACGGTCAAAGGGATACAAATATTAAAATCATCAAGGGCTTTGGAGTGAGACTCACCAGGTTTGAATCTCACCTTCACCGCTCCCACCCAGGCAATCCTGAACATATTTCTGAGCCTCTCTATAACTCAGTTCCTTCCTATGTGTACGGGAAAAATAATAGTACCCCTACCACATGGAGTGACTGTGATAACTAACAGACAGGCTGCGTATGAAGCATATGGCAGAGTACGTGGCACAGAGAAAGCACTCGAAAAATGTGATCCACTCTCACTATTACCGGGCTCAGTGGCATATAGACCAAGGTGTGAATGCCAGTTTCACCTGAAACAAGTTGCTGGTTGTGTGATCTTTAGGGTTCTTTTTCCATAATGTGCTAAGTGATGTATAACTCTGCTTAACTCAGAACGCATTTGTGTAGATTAAATGAAAGCACATGTGTGAATAATCCTCTTATGTTGCTCAGTATTCAAAGTAGAGGTCACCTCATCTGTTGGATGCTGACCTGCTTTCAGGAAAAGTCCTGGAAAGAAATGGAAAGTTTAAAAGAGAGGACAAATCTAGGCTCCTCAAAGTTAGTTTGGACCCCCATCAGACATAAGCAGTGACTATGGAGAGAAGCGGACAAGTGCCATCAAGGGAAGGGTTGGGGTGACACGTATATGAAGTGCAGTGTGTGAGGAATGGGTCCCAGGAAAGGCAAGGCTGCTGACAGATAAGTGACCATGATTTACAACTACTGTGAAGAAAACTATTTTGGAGAGGCACACAAAAAAAGCAGCTCCCATCGTACACCCTCCCCCACCCCCACCCGCCAGCCCCCAGCCCCCAGCCCCCAGCCCCGCCGCCTGCATGGGCACAGGTGGCGAACTTACAATCACGATGATGAAATCGAGCCAGCACCAGGCGCTGGTGAAATACTTCCCAAAGCCAAAGGCCACCCATTTCAGAACCATCTCCAGGATAAAAATGTGTGTGAAAACATTGTCAGTAAATTTAAGTAATTCTTTGATTTTGGGTTGATCTTGAAGGTTAATATCTTCAAACATCTGAAATGATAAGACATAGCTATAGGCCAGGCTGAATATTTGCATAGGTCTCCTTGCTGACTTCATATTTTCTTTTCCTTCCTTATTTGTGCTTCCTTCCAAAAAATATGTATGATAAATTAGTATCTCTCTTGGTAATAAGTTTTGCTCAACAGGTATTAAGGCTGAGTTTTTCCAGTGGAATCAATTCCTTAAGTAAAACTGGAAGAAGCAAAATCCTATTTCTAGACTTCCGTTGCCACTACGTTCCCCAGGCTCTCATCACTGGCCCCTGGAATATAAGAACGTCTCCCTAACAAACCACCCCACTACTTCCTGGTGTTCCTAATCCTTTCAGCTCTTGCCAACAATACCCTGACAACTTTTCTAGAACCACTTAGTGGCATACACACCATCTTTTTATCCTCCTAGTTACCTTAGTGACTCTATTCAGTGGCTCTCGGTTGATTATAACATGTAAACACCTTAGTCCATACTCTAGATACAGCCCATCCTGAGGCCCATCATCTCCTACTACAAACAGCCTTCCCTCTTTGCCCCAGTGCTCCCTACACATGTGACCATTCTGTTCCTGCACCATGACATGCAGAACTTTGAGAAGCTATGGGCTAGAGCTCCCAGCGTAAATTACTTTGAATAGTAAACATGAAGCGTGCCTATGAAAATGAGACCTTCTAGCCTCCAGAGAGACTCTTTTTCATGCTACATACAAATATTTCCTTCACCCAAAGGATATGTGTGATTCTTCAGGATCTACAGAACTAGGATGCACACTGTCCTTTTGGTCTGTACAGTGTTACCGAGGATGAGAGAAAGGAGAGAAGGGGCCCTGACTCTAAACCTGCCAAGACATAAAGGCAAGAAAGAAATCAGCCCTGCTTTTGGGGACTGAGGCGATCCCACAGCTCCATGGCCCTGGGGAAAAAGAATGCGAAAGAGTCAGCCTCACTTCTAGCTCCCAAGTGGGCTTGGCTAAAGAAGGCCTTGTACTTCTGCTTCTGCCTCTGCCCCACTGGCTCCTTGTCAGCCCTCCGATCTCAGATTAACTGTCTTTTCTATAGGAAACTCTCTTTCTTCCACCAAGACTGGGCTAGCGGCCACCTTACACGGACCCATGGCCCCCATTGCTTCTCTAAATGTATCGCCGTGGTCCTGGCCTATGATTGCCTGAGCTCCATCTGTCTTTGCTACTAGTCTCCAAGTTCGTAGAAGTAAGGGACTTGTCCATGTGTTCGCCTCTTGAAAAGAAACAAACCTGAATGGCATTGGAAGCTCATTTTCTCACTCATTTTGGAAACTTAGCAACAAGCTGGCTCAGCAGATCTGAGTTAGCTCAGTGGAAGAGCAAGCTGATATTAGCAACTGCTTTTTGGAGGCTCCCACATTATAATGAGGCCACTTACTAACCCAGGAAGCTCCCATTATTACATAGTTTCCCCGACCAGAGCTTTCAAATCCTAATGAGCCCCAAATCATCTAGGTTCTGATTTAGCAGGATGAGCTCAAGACTGCATTTTTAACAAGCTTCCATGTAATAACTAAGGCTGTTGGTCCATACAGCATAGGCAACGGCAATCAATGAGACGTTTCTTTTCTCTATTTCTCTACAAAAATGCATAGTGAAACGGGCTGGATCCCTCCCCTGGAATCCTCTGCATTGTGCATTCAGTCTCACTCTGCCCAGCCTACACTTGCCTCAGCTGAAGACAGTTGAGAAAGTAGGAGAACTGTGTGCCCTCTGCTACTTCCCTTTCTCAGATGGTGCCACAGGGTATGTGTCTGTGGCCTTTGGACAACACCCCTGCTTTCCCACTGACTAGCACAAGGCTTGGTGTACACCACGTACCATTTATGGAGTTAATGAAAAACCCCTACCACTGAAATAAGAGTAGAGAGCCAGTGAAAGTGTAATCACCAGAAGACAACAGGGAACCAAAGGCTAAGGATTATTAATAAAAATTAATCATGGACATCCTCTTGGATAGTTTTGGAGAGAGTTGCGAATAATTGACATCGCAGTAAGTATATAAATGAGGATGTCTGTTGGTCACAGGCTCTGAAGGGCCCCAGTGCATTCTCATCTCCTTTCACCTAGAGGTCACACAGAGTAAAGCACTAACCAGAAAGTCAGGGGTAAAGAGGCAAGAGATATTTCCTAGTCCCCTTCTATTTGCTAGCAACTTACTGCAAAATGTTCTGACTCTAAATCAGAAAGGAGGAACCCAGGGCTCCATTCACTTGACATAACAAACAGTAAGAAAACTTAGTTCTATATTATAATCATTTTAAGGGGTGACACAAGATATAAAGGGAGAGTGAGAGAGAGAGAGGTAATAAAAGCAAAGGGGCAAGTGAAGAGGAGACAGGAAGGACCAAAAGGTGAGAAGAGAGAGCAAAAAAGAGTTTATGATCATGTGGCTATGGAGACCGATGCATTCGGTACTTTCCAAACCTCGCTGGGGCCTACCACACTCGATTTGGAAGGATCTGTCATGCGCATAAAGCAGCATCTCTTTGTCTCTCCTCTCAAGGGATTAAGTGATGGAAAACACCAAGACAACTTACTATATCCTAATCTGGTCCCTGTAGCCTTCTCATAATAGTTTACCTTTTAGAAAGCAGCATTATGGTCCTCAGGAAAAGAGAGGGGAGGAGCACTGCTGTCTAAAGGAGGAAACAGGTAGGATGCTGTGAAAATGTCTAGAAATCTTCCAAGACCAATAGACATACCTGGGGTCAAAGGCCAGACCTCGGGAGTCATTTTAGAGCGCTGGTCTGGGTCCTGTTTCGCTATGGGTAAAGTGCCTTTGGCTTAGGGCTTTCCCCTGGAAGCGTGACTCCAGGAGTAAAGACCCAGAGATCCAGCAGTAAAGCTCCCACTCCTGCCTATTCTCCCTGACAGCCCCGTGAGGGGCAAAGGCAGAATGCAGCTCTCCCAGCTGCCTTGCTTCCCAATGTCCCCACAAGACAGGATAATTTACCAATGCTCCACTGCTCAGCAGAATCACAAAGATAATAAAGCTCTCAAACCAGCTGTGTTTCACTATTTGGTAGCAGGTTTTCCGCAGGTTCCACCAAATGATCCAGGGGGACTTTCTCCTGTTCACAGCACAGCATGGGAAGCAGCGACACAAGCCTGAGAGGAATGAGCAGTAGCACTGTCATAGAGTCTGTAGTAAATTACATCAATAGCCCAACTCTTTACTCATCTGCGTACACATGCCCCTTACCATGTGATTTTTGCAATTCCTCCCACTAAAGAGGTAGAGTCTTTTTCCAGCCCTTTGGGTCTGGGCTCAGCCATGTTACTTGATTTGGCCAATAGAGCAGAGTGAGCCAGTTTGGAGCCAAGACTTTAAGAGGCCTTGCATGTTTCCACTTGTTCTCCTGCACAATGTCCCTAAGAAAGCTGTATTCAGACCAGCCCACTGGTTCCAGGAAGTGGATAGACATGTTACAGGAACCAAGATGCACAGTTAAACCGAGGCTAGATCAGCTGACTCCCAGTCAGTACCACTCACATGAATAAAGCAAGCCAAGATCAGCAGAGACAACTGGCATAATGAGCTGAATCATATTTACTGTTGTGTGCTATTGAGATTTTGTGGTTGTTTGTTATGCAGCAGTGTGTTTGGTGATAGTAAACAGTGTCCCAAGGACTGCAGGGAATGAGGTAGGGATGGATACAGGCTTTGCCAACCACCCATGAAAGAATTTGATCAATTGTCAAGATACTTACAAATAGCTGAGCATTTGGTCCCAACACACACACCCCTTTTGCATGAGTTACATCACCCTTTCCTCCAACTCTCCTGCTAAATTCTGTGGTTGCTTATTTCATGGCGGTTACAAGATTCCACTCCTTTTCTCATGATCTTCCTAAATCACTGTGAGGTCTCCTCAGTCTGCCCCTTACCTCCCTACATCTTTCAGAACATCAATAAATTAACTTTCCTGTAAGTTTCTCTTATCCTACTCCTCCCTCCTTCCAGGGCCCTCCCCCTCTTTTGCCTCCATCTCCACTGCTGACATCCTGCCCACACCTCAAGTCTAAATGTAAGTCAGGTGAATAGTAATCTATCCCTAGCCTGACCTCTGACCCCATGGGCAGTTTCAGTGCTGTCAAAAAGCCTGGAATGAGTCTAAAACTCATTCTCAGTGTTCTTTCTGAACCCAGTTTAGTCTCAAACTTATGGAGAATTTTTAAATTTTTAGATTCAGTTATTCATTTGTTAAGTTACTTACTTATGTACTTAGCAACATTTGTTGAACCCATAATCTGGGCCAGCTTCTATTCTCACTCTAGAAATACAATATTGACTAAGTTACTGGTTTGTTTTTTTTTAAGAGTCTCATGGAGGTAACAGACACAAATAAACTCCCCTCAGTGAATATAGGAAATCATGAAGGCACATAAGCAGGAACCACTACATCCCTCAAGAAATCAGGAAGTGGTGCATTTATTGATTGCTTATTATATGCCAGACACTCTTCTAAGTGATTTACATTCATTCATTTCATATCCACAACAACACTTTGCAGCAGGTACTATTGTTATACTCATTTTATAAATGATGAATAGAGAGGCTAATGAAATTAAAAGTTACAAGCTAGTAAATGGAGGGGCCAGAATTTGAGCTCAGACACCCTGGCTCCGGAGACAAAGATCTTAACTACAATGCTGTTCTGCTTCCAGAGAAGAATCTTAAGAGATGAGTTGAAGGCCTAGCAGGGGTTCTAGTCAGCCCTAAACTTACAGTCAAGTTCTCTTGGTCAATGATTCAAGTATTAATATATTCTGACAGTTGATGTACTAGGGACTATATAAAGTGGCAGGCATATTGGCTCGGTGGGCTTTCTAGTAAAGTTTACTGGAGTTTTTACCCTGGTTGTTGGTCTCTGAGCCTACCCAGATCAAGAATATCCTGAAATCCCCTTCATCTGGCCCTGATAAATGACCCCAAAATCTCTGAGTGACCTCTCTTCAATTTTGTCTCCAGCAGAAATAGAAAGAAGGCATATATCAAAACCACAGAGCTGCAAAGAATAACAGAATCCCATCAAAATATTCTTTGAAGTGGATGCAGTAATACTGCCACTTACCTTTGGGAAAACATCTGTCTAGTTCCTTTTGGGGAATACTTTCAGGTACCCACCTAAAGGGATCCTGCAGATCAATGGTGCTACATTCTGAGAGCACACTGATAGAATCAGACTTCTGCACATCAGAACAAAGGAAAGGGAGAATCATTTATCCACACCCTCTCTTACTGTGTTAGTACCTAATATCTCATAAAAAGTATGACTTTTTAGGTATGAAACTAATTAGGTAAAGTCTTCTAGGTATAAGGGGCACCAAGAAAGTATCCCTCTTGTTTGGGTCTTTCTAAGTGCTCTGCCAAGCCCTGACTTCAGGAGAGAATTCTCTAATTGTTCTCCCCTAGTGAAGAAAAGGGAAGGAGTATAAAGACATAGTATCTCAACATTTTTCTCCCTTCAAATCATATCCCTGATCAGCTGCCTAACCCCAAATAGGGAAAATAGGTGATGGGGAGAAGGTTACTTTACTGAGACTGTAATATACAATATTCAACTATTTCAACTTCTGGAATAATAGGCCTACACCAGTGGTTCTCAATGATTTTTCTCTCCTGGAGATACTGTAGCAATGTCTAAAGACACTTTTGAATTCCATAACTGGGGGATGCTACTGCAATCCAGTGTGTAGAGGCCAAGGATGCTGCAAAACATCCTAAAATACACAGCACAGCACACTACCACAAAGAATTATCCTGCCCCAAATGTTACTGTGGAGAGATTGGGAAACTTTGGTATAGACCTTTGCTTAAGATGTAACTACAGAAGTTTTCTCTGCACTAATCTTGATATTTTCCATAGTGCCTGTCTTGGAAAAGGTATATGGATGATCATACCACAAGTTCCTTCTGGAAATACCCTGGGAAAATTACCTTTCGGGGATTCTGTGCTGACAGATAAGCAGCATCTTCAGGTAACACTTCAATTTCCACACTTTGAATTCTTGGGCTGGAGGACTTGGCCTCCTGATGGAGCTCATAGACCTGACACAGAGAAGCCCAGAGTAGAATTAATATTCCTCCTGGAAATCTCACTTGAGATGAAACAAGTTTGAATTCTCTTTGGTTTTCTGTTTGTCATAAACATTTTGTCATTAATACTCTTTTCTTCCTAGTTTTTAAAACTGCTCCTAGAAAAACTCAACCAAAAACAAATCTGGGGAAATGAGTATAGGAAACAGGTAACAAGATTTACTCAGAAGTCATATGATCAAAAGAATATGGTTCTGGTACAAAATTCATCAAAAAAACCGCAGAGGTAAAACATATTGTATCCTTTCAATTCAGTAGTTAAAAAATAAATTGTTTAATAAATAGTACTGGTATAATTAGCTACCCCTGAAAAATTAATAAAACACCAGAATATAGTAAAAATAAAATTCATAATTTGATGTAAAAAATAGGTGAGTAAAGATGTCAGGAGAAAAATTTGGTAGCCAAGATGGAGGCATAGGTAGACACACTTTGCTTTTTCATGCAACTGAAGAAGGACAACAACAAATTAAAAAACAAAAAACAACCAGAACTGCCAGAAAATCTAACGGTATGGAAGTCCAACAACCAAAGAGTTAAAGAAGAAACATTCATCTAGACTGGTTGGAGGGGCAGAAATGGGCTGCTGGGAGGAGAGGATGTCGGGCAAGGCAGCAGACCAAGGAGGTGAGGCAGCTGCTGGCACCAGCGGTCCCGTATTCCCTTGTGGATAAACCAGAAGGAACAACTGGGGAGCAAGGCAGACCGCGCGATCCAGGGTCCCAGCATTGGAAACTAATGCCTCAAAACCTCTGGCTGTAAAACTGTGGGAGATGTATTGATGGGAGAAACTCCATCCTCACAGGAGAGTTTGTTGGAGAGATCCATGGGGTCCTTGAATGTACACAAACCCACCCACTCAGGAATCAGCACTAGAAGGGCCCAATTTGCTTGTGGGTAGCAAGGGAAGTGGCTGAAAATGGGGTGAGAGCCGAGCAAGCAGCATTGTTCCCTCTCTGACCCCTCCCCCCACATACAGCACCACGATGCAGCGTGCTCCACCCTGGCGAATACCTATGGCTCCACCCCTTACAACATAAAAGATGCACCTGAGACAGAGAAATATGGCCCAAATGAAAGACAGATCAAAGCTCCAAAAATAAAACTAAGCAAGAAGGAGATAGCCAACCTATCAGATGCAGAGTTCAAAACCCTGGTAATCAGATGCTCAAAGAAACGGTGGAGTACAGACACAAAATAGAGGAAAAAGTGAAGGCTATGCAAAGTGAAATAGAGAAAGATTATACAGGGAACCAACAGTGAAGCAAAGGAAACTGGGACTCAACTCAGTGATCTGGAACAGAAGGAAGAAATAAACATTCAACAGGAACAAAATGGAGAAACAAGAATTAAAAAAAAAATATAAGGAGAGGCTTAGGAACCTCTGGGACAACATTAAATGTTCTAACATGCAAATCATAGGGGAGCCAGAAGGAGAAGAAGAGAAAGAAATTGAAAACTTATTTGAAAAAATAAGGAAGGAGAACTCCCTAATCTGGCAAAGGAAAGAGACTTCCAGGAAGTCTAGGAAGCTCAGAGAGTCCCAGAGAAATTGGACCTAAGGAGGAACACCCCAAGATGCATCATAATTAAATTGCCCAGGATTAAAGATAAGGAGAGAATCTTAAAAGCAGCAAGAGAAAAGAAGAGTTACCCAGAAAAGAGTTCCCATAAGACTATCAGCTGATTTCTCAAAAGAAACTTTTTAGGCAAGAAGGGGCTGGAAAGAAGTATTCAAAGTCATGAAAGACAAGGGCCTACATCCAAGATGATTCTATCCAGCAAAGCTATCATTTAGACTGGAAGGGCAGATAAAGTGCTTCCCAGATAAGGAAAAGTTAAAGGAGTTCATAATCACCAAGCTCTTATTATATGAAATGTTAAAGGGACTTATCTAAGAAAAAGAAGATCAAAACTATGAAGAGTAAAATGACAACAAACTCACAATTATCAACAACTGAATCTAAAAAACAGAAACAACTAAGCAAACAATTAGAACAGGAACAGAATCACAGAAATGGAGATCACATGGAGGGTTATCAGCAGGGAGGGAGTTGGGGAAGAATGGGAGAAAATGTACAGGGAATAAGAAGCATAAATGTTAAGCACAAAATAGACAGGGGAGGTTAGGAAAAGTATAGGAAATGGAGAAGCCAAAGAACTTATATGTATGACCCATGGACATGACCTCAGGGGTAGGGAATGCTGATGGGAGGGAAGGTGGCGGGTGGAGGGGAATAAAAGGGAGAAAAAAATGAGACAACTGTAATAGTATAATCAGTAAAATACACTTTAAAAAAAAGAAGAAAAATTTGGAAAATAATTTTTTTATTCTTTGGTGTACAAAGGGTTGGCTTAACAAAATAGAAAAAAAGGCATAAAAGAAAAAATGAAAATGTATAAGATATAAGTGTAAACAAATAAAAATATATTTTGTCTGGTGATTTGCAGAGATATTCAAAAAAGGATATGTGAAGTTGCACCTTAGGTGAGGGTTTTATCCAAAAATCTGCGTAAGGGTTCCTGTGAACCTGACAGCATAAACTCATGAACACGTCTCCCTTTTTAACACATACAATAACATACACAGACACACAAATTAACACACACAAAAACAGGTAAATATATCTAGGGACCGGACACAGAACAGAAATACAGAGTAGTAACAATTTAAAGTATATAGTAGGTAATGGTGGCTAAAACTGTCCCATGTGAGGAAGAGAACCACAGCTATGTCTGAGGCTTAAAACTGGGCTGGGCTGAAGTTCTCGCCCTTAACACAGAAAGCCAACAGAAGCTGTGGCCAATACTTAAAAATATGATTATATAAAACTCTATACCAAGGGAGGCAGGAGGAAAAACAGCCTCAGAAATAAAACCTGAGCAAAGGCACCCACTGGTTGCTTAGTATCACCATTTGACAATAATCTTAAGTAGGCGATACAAGACTTGATTCTGAAATGGATGACTTAGAAGGGTCCCTTGAAGGTATCGCAGAACTTCAGCTGCAAAGAGAGTGACAGATCTTTCTATCAAAGATGAGTTTTCAAATTAATACTCAAAAATGTATGAGGAGACAATCATAAAATAAGTAGCTGCTCCCCTACCCTCAAATTAACTGCTGGGAGATGATTTTACTCATGAAAAAAATGAAAGCTATATAAAAATAATCTGGGAGTATCTGCAAAATGTATAAGTTTAGAATTTAATGAAAAAAAATACAAAGAGTTTCACTTCCTAGATGTCAGTGTAAGGAGTTCTGTGGAGATACTCCCCAAGAAAATAAGCAGAAGTGGTAAAAAATATTTTTTAAAAATCATTTCAAGTCCCTGGAAATTGCCCTAAGGGCATCGGCAAATGAAGAAACATTTATTTAAGAAAAGCTACAGAATTCAGTAATAATAACAGGAGCCCATGGCACTTGTGCCAGGTCCTGCTCTCTCCCTCCCAAGCCCCTGTAACACTGAGCTGAAGAGGCTAAATCCCTGGTGGATGAAGCCAAGATGTTGGGTTCCCTTTTTCAATCCAGCACCTACTCACCAAACAGAGGCTCTATTCCAAGTTCAGCAGCCTGAGAATGCTGAGGCCCTGACCACCCCTATTCCAGCTAGCTTGGAAGGAAGAGGGTCCAGGCAGAAAGGGAAGCCGAGAAGGTGGGAGGCACTGCCCCACTGCGTACCTGGAGTAGTGGCTAAAAGAGCTTGCTCAAGATGGAAGGCAATCCATAAAAAACAAGCGTTCTGAAGCTCTCCATAAAAGAACTGATTTAATTTTAAATACAGTGCAAAGAAGTTCAAGCCTAAGTAAAAATTAATAAAATAATAGATGAAATCAACAAAACCAAAAGTTGATTATTTTAAAAGGTCAAGAAAATTGACAAAACGTCTACAAGATTGACCAAAAGAAAAATGTGACAAGATTCAGATTACTAAAATTAGGGATGAAGGATGGAATGTTACTATCAACCTTACAGAAATCAAAAGGATTATAAGGCAATACTATCAATAACTGTGTGTCAACAAATTAGATAACTTCAATGAGACAGACATATTTCTAGAAATACAAAAATCTACCACAACAGACTCCAGAAGGAATAGAAGATCTGAGTAGCCCTATAGCAAGCGAAGAGATTGAATTTATAATTGAGAAATTTCCCACAGAGACTTCCAGTTTCCAGTCTGACAGGTAAAACACCTGGAGGTTTCCACTCCATCCTAACAAGCAAAAAGCTGGACAAACTGGAAAATAAAGAGCTCTTTTTAGATCCATGAGAGAAGTGAGGTCCAGGGCAAATGCTACCCTCCAAATTGTAGAGATAGACATGCAAATACAGAGAATCACAACTTCCCAGAGCAGAAAACCAGGAGCAAAAACTTCCATAGGAACCAGTGCCAAGGTAGAGAAACCGGAACTACAATGGGCAATTGCTGGAGGCTATGTGTGGACAAGTCTTCAGGGAGACCTATCTGTTTTTGAGTTTTACCTCTTGGAGCTCTGTCAAGTTCTCACAGTCAATACTGGAGAAAAATTCCCTCATGCTTCTGGCAGGCGGAGGGTAGAAATTGTTTTTGAAATATATGAAAATATCCTGTTCTTCTAATAAGACCTGCCCTCAAGTGAAACTAGTAAACCAGAGCCTTACCTGCTGGGGTTTTATCAGACCCCTACTGACCTGGGTGAAGGGAAATACCCAGTTGCAGCCAGTTCTAGATTTCCATGTGGAAGGAGGGAAATACCCAACTCCAGCTCACTCTGGCCATTCTGACCCACCTAAGGGGAGGGGGGACTGAGAAGCATAGTGAAGCGCAGGGTCCTGAGGCAAAGGCTCGCTAGAAGACTGAGACCTAATCATAATGCACGGAGACAGAGAAGAGGAGGGAGAGAATCCAACTGCATCCAACAAGTTTTGGTATATTATATTTTCATTTCCATTTATCTTTAAGTATTTTAATTTTTTGTGATTTCTTACTTGACTTATTGTTTATTTAAGAATTTTTCATTTAATTTCCACATATTTGTGAATTTTTCCCTTTCTCTTCCCCTCTCTAATAAAACTCTTCTGTTCACCCACACCTCACTAACACATAACTAAAGGCCTATTTACAGCAGTTCCATCTGCCCAGCACATCATGTCCAACTATGAAGAAAAAAATTACAAGGCATTCTAAAAGGTAAAAAGTATAGTTTGAAGAGACAGAGCAGGCATAAGAACCAGTCCCAATATGGCAAAGGTGTTTGAATTAATCAGACCTGGAATTTAAAACAACATGATTAAAGTGCTGAAGGCTCTAATGGATAAAGTAGACAGCACGCGTGAACACACAGACAATTTAATCAGAGAGATGGAAATTCTAAGAAAGAAAAAAAAAAAAGAAATGCTAGAGGTCAAAAACATTGTAACAAAAATGAGGAATGCCGTTCATTGGCTTGTTAGTAGACTGGACACAGCTAAGGAAGGAATCTATGAGCTTGAGGATATCTCCATAGAAACCACCAAAACTGAAAGGCAAAGAAAAAGACTATGGAGAGAAAAAAAGAAAAAACAGACGAGAACACCTGAGACCTACCCATGGGGCAACTACGAAGGTGCAATATTCGTGTCATAGGAGTTGACAGCTCTCATCTCCCACCACCACCCGCCCATGAACCCCACCACTGATCGCCGCAGAGACCGGGTGTGTTCCTACCACTGTCTCTTTTTCCACGCCAATCACGTCACTTTCCACACTCTCTTTCCTCACCTTTCATCCAACCCAAATTCTTTTAGGGCTCAACCAAAGGCACGTGATTCCCAGGTTGCCCCAGCCCACGCTAATGTCGCTCCTCTCTGGGCCCCTCCATCTGTGCCACACGTACAGGACCATGATTAGAATAAGCCCTGGGCTGTGCACACGGTATTGAGGGGCAGCCACCACATATTATGCCTTTACTGTCCCTGCAGAGTGCAACCAGTGTCCCTCTGGCAAAACTACCTCTGTACAACAATTAAATCTCTGTGTGAACTTTCATACCTGTTTTCCAGCCTCAGGTTGTGTGACAGTCTGTGCATTTTCTTCATCAAGAAATTCATCATCATCTTCTTCCTCTGCAAGTGGCGCCAGCAGAGTCTGAGCATGCCCAACACTCAAGGGCCTTGGTGCAGAAGTTAGTACACCGAACTCCTCCCAGGTCTCTGGGCCCTTTTTTATCTCTGCGACCAAGGGAATGATGTCTTTGTTCTCTGCAGAAGAGCCCTCTGCCACCTTTTTTTGCTTTGGTGAGCTTTGCCTCCTGCATCGCTTGCAACAATATTGCTCCAGGGTATTTATCACAAAACAAAAAGCCCGGTGGAACCGATCCAGGGCTAACTGGACTTTGGTTTTCCTGCCCTCTCCTTCCAAGTTTCCATCTCTCTCCTCATTGCTGAAGGAATTGAGCAACAAGGCAATGAAGAGGTTCAGTACCTAGGGAGGGGTTGGGATGTGGGCACAAGGAGAATGGAAAATTTAACCAAGGAAAGGATACCATAGGTTTCCAGAACAAATTTTTCCCAAGACCCAAAACAAAGTCAAATGAGAGTCCTGGATCCTTCTATCTCCCAAGAAATTTCATCTATAAAATAAGTAAGAGAGGAGGTTGAAGAGTAACAGAGATAGCAAGATAAAAGAAAAATGTACGTTAAAAGAGTACAAACAGCCGAATTTAGCTTTTCTACATAAAAGCAACGCATATTGTAGACTCCAGCCAAGGGTAAAGCCAAACCTTTTACCCTTGAAGGGTGTGACCATGTGGCATAATCAAGTGTGTATATTCCTTGTGAATCAGCCAGAATTGTGAGCTTGGATTTTTGTTGGCATCGCCCACAGGTATGTGGGTCTGATGTTTAAGACCACTGCGGGCCCTCTCCTACTGGCAGAATTTGAGAGATGGTGTACTTTGTGCAGGCTGATTAGGTCCCGCTGCCCAAACTGCAATGAGGTATTGGCACAGAGCCAGAGGGGTTTGAATCAAATCTATAACTCTTCTGTTGAAGCACATATCACTTTAAATTCAGATTATCTCCACGGTTCTCTCCTTAGGATTTTTGCTTACTCCTAATTCATCATCTTTACCTCCTAAAACTCTTGTTTGTGGCTCTCACCAGCTCAAAAATATACAGTCTTTGGGGAGAAGGGTATTGTGGGTATGAATAGGTCTAGTCAATCTTCTTCAGCTTCAACATGAGAATTCCCAACTTTGGATCTTTGCTCAAGCTTTCCTCTATCTGTTAAGTCTCCCTTGACTCTTAAGTGCCATTCTCAAGTACAATAGCTTACACAAAGCCTTTCTTAATGGTCCCTTCCTACTCCCATTAGTGGTATTCTGCTCTTCGGAACTTTTGTATCACTTACTATCTATACCTCTCACTAGGTTCTTTTTTATGATTTAAATTTTTTTAAAATTTTTTTATTGTTCAAATACGTTTGTATCCATTTTCCCACCATCGCTTTGCCCTGCCCCACCCACTCCCACCTCCCACCCTCAAGTTTTCCCCAGTTTGGCTTTGTTCATGGGTCCTTTATACATATTCCTTGACTTGACCCTTCCCCTCCTTTTGCCCATTACCCCTTTCCCTCCTCCCCTCTCATTACTGTTGGTTTGTTTTTTCTTTCAATGTTGCTGGCTATATTTTTCTTGCTTGTTTATTTTGTTGATTAGGTTCTACTTATAGGTGAGATCATATGGTATTTGTCTTTCACCCCCTGGCTTATTTTGCTTAGCATAATGCTCTCCAGTTCCATCCATGCTGTCACAAAGGGTAGCAGCTCTTTCTTTTTTTCTGTCAGCTGCGTAGTATTCCATTGTGTAAATGTACCATAGTTTTTTGATCCACTCATTTACTCATGGGCACTTAGGTTGCTTCTAGCACTTGGCTATTATAAATTGTGCTGCTATGAACACTGGGGTGCATAGGTTCTTTTGAATTGATGTTTTGGATAAAATTACCATGTGCAGACACCTAATTCTGTTGGCACCATAGCCCCAACTTAATTCTGAAGATCTTGTGCTTGGGTATCCTTGTGTATCTCCTGTCTCTTCATACCCTCACTCATGGACCCATAATTAGGCTCTCCATAAATGTCTATGTTTCCAGCTGGAAGTCACATACTCAAGGCAGCTTACACAATAGGGAAAAGTAATATAACCAGAGGTTTGAAAATAAAGCAGGAAACTAATTATAACATGAGGATAGGTGTGTTCCACCTTCCACTATACCTGCCTCAGAGCCAGCTTTGTCTTCGGCTGGTTCTTCACATGGCTGCATAACGTTTGCAGTTCTGCCTGGGGTCACAGTCATAAAACAGCCCAGAAGAGGTAAGAGGGCCATTTTTTCCCCGGTTCCTTCTCCTCCTTATCCCCCCCTTTCCTACTTCTCCTCCTTCTCCTCCTCCATCTTCTTCTTCTTTTAAAGAAAAGAAACGTTCTTCAGTGGACATCCCTTTACATCTTATTGACCAGGTTAAGTCACAAACCCCTACCTCAGGCAATCACTGGCAAAGAGAGTATGATTACCTTAGACTAATCACCAGAGTACAATATTATTGGGGCATCAGTCAACACAAGTACTATGTTACAAGGAGGTTTTGTTGCATGCTTATCATACTTTCCTCAAGCCAAATTCAAACACAAATCATTAATATTATATAACATCATAACACTATATTTAGAATAAAAATTTCACTAGTGAAATGTTGCCAAAGAAGCTAGTGCATTTGTGTAGTTCAAGTATTTAAAAAAAAAAACAACTCACCACAAGTTTTCCTATCACCATGATCAATACAAAGACAATAATGCACATGTACTTATTAGCTTCTTCCATACATTCCCACATGTTTTCGATCCATTCCCCGCAGAGGATGCGGAATACCACCAGAAAGGAGTGGAAGAAATCCCCCATGTGCCAGCGTCGTAAACATGAGCCTTCAGCGTCACAGGATTTTACTTTTGTTTTAAAATGACAGAACTGAGAGCCAAACAGCCGCATGCCAACTACCGAGAAAATAAAGACCACGATGGCCAGGACCACAGTCAGGTTTCCAAGGGCTCCGACGGAGTGGCCTATAATCTTAATCAGCGTATTTAAAGTTGGCCAAGATTTGGCTAACTTGAAGACCCTCAGCTGTAGAAACAGACAATGAACAAAAATGGAAGAAAAGCCAGTTAATGACAAATTCTATCTGTTCAACCACAAAACAAATGACATGCTCCCAATCAAAGTCACATCCATACTAAATGTGTCACCAACTCCATATCCCTATCTAACACTCACCTGCATCTACTTTTTGTTTTAAAAATGAAAATATTTTGTTCTAATTACTTTTAAATGATAAAGACTTTGAGGTCATAGTGATGGAGTTGAGCATATATGCTTGTTATATAAAATACATCTCAGAGGTCAAAAACTCAGGCCTGTAGGCCAAATCCATCCCGTTGCCTGCTTTTTTATGACCTGAGACGTAAGAACGTTTTGACATTTTTTAATGGTTGGGAAATAATCAAGAGAAGGACATTTTATTACACATGAACACTGTATGAAGTTCAAATATCCATGTTTGTAAAGTTTCATTGGAATGCAGCCAAGCTCACTCATTCTCTAATGTCTACGACTGCATTTGTGTTAGGATGACAAAGCTGAATGGTTTTGACAGAGATGACATGGCCTGTAAGCCTGAAAATATTTACCATCTGGCTTTTTACACAGAAAGTCTGCTAACTCCTACACTGAGTAATTCAGATCACGAGTCTGACCTAAACATGACAGGGATGAGTGTCATAGGATGTTCTAGACCCAGGAGAGAAAATGAAATGCGCTACTCAAAACGTGCACACTTTTTTCCAAAGAGAAATCTTCTCCATGAAAGCTTACAGATGTTTTAGGAGACGATAACCTTAGAGAAAAGGCAGCAACTAACTTCATAGGTTATTTCTTATATTCACTCTCAATGTAAACTATGGTTTAAGTCCAAAGTACAATCCTGTTAAGTATCACCTATTTGGGGGTGCAAATAGTGCAGGTAAAGTAAGTCTTATGTCCCAAGGGAAAGACCACCACAGTCTACTCAGAGTGGAGTTGGGAGAAACTGTGGTTCTGGTCTTTTACGTAGACGACACCAGAGTTCCTTGCTGAAGTGTATGGCTATCATAAGCCTAAACAATAGTAAAAACAAATGTAATTTTGCTCACCTGAGCACCCATAAAACTAGCTGAGCAGCCTAATAATGCCTGACTTTGAGTGGTATGCTCTCCTAATGCATCCCAAGTATAAAATGTACAATTTCTTAGGTAACTGAATCAAATGTTCTTATTCTATAGGCTTAGAAATCCTATCCATGACTAATTAACCTTTGAAAGAGGGCAAAAGGCCACCTTTTGTGGTTTCCCTATTTCCTGCTCAGATGTGTTGCTCTAGAACTTTTTATCCATGCCTCTCGTGGGCTTGGTGACATGGTACTCTGCCTCATGGCCATTTCCGGGCCTGTCTTGTATCATCCCTGGACTACAAAACTCCTTGAAGTGCTTTCCTCCTCTCTGAGCTTCCCCTGTGCCAGCTGACACCAGGGACTCTACAAAATTAGCCAGAATGCCTCCCATAGCTACGGCATGTGGAATGCGGCACTGGCAGCCGTGAGCAGGGACTTGTGAGAAAGCACCTGCTGGCAGCACCCGCCCCCCACCTGGGCTCTGGAGTCCAAAGCCCCTTGGTGAGCCCTGAAGTGAGGGTGCATGGCTCAGAGCTCAGTGGGGACTGGAGGGGTCACACACAAAGCAAAGAGCAGAGTTCCGACACCATAAGACAATTTTACATCTAGGTGTGTAAAGGATCATCTTGATAGGGTGAAGCGGGGAGTAGGGGTTCAGCTGAGAGAAAACCCCCGGGACTCCCAAGAGTATGAAAGACCCAAGTGGAAGGAGGGGTGCATTTCTGGTTTCTCCGGTTAAGGCAAGATGAGTTCAAGTTTAAGCCAAACTAGTCACTGACCTCACTCAAGACACTTTTCAGTTCTGGCTGCTAAGTTATTCAACAAAATAAGAAAGCAAGTGCCTTACCACTCTTAAGATACGGAAATTCGGCTGTTTAATGATCACATCTGCAAGACTCAAAAGAGCAACGATGCTGTCAAAAATGTTCCAGCCTCGGCGAAAGTAGTGGTAGGGATCAAGCGCAATGATCTTTAGAAACATTTCTGCCATAAAAATGCTAGTGAAAACCTACAGTGAGACAAAGAAAAGTGGGAAAAGGAAGCTACCTCGTTTTGCACACACTTTTAAGAATGGTCCAAGGGATTACAGAAGTTACAGAGAAATAAAATGCGTTCATGAAAAAGAAACATGTAACTGCTCTAGCAGGAACCTCACTCCCTTCCACAGTGCTCAGTCCAAAGTTACAGAGCTCACAGACATCGCAGGATGGAGAAAAAAAATATTTCTTATTCTGTTGAAAACAAGCAAGGCTGGTTTCTTGGTAGCTGGAAGAATGATAGGAAGCGTCGATCAATTCTTCTGAATTCTTTAAAATACCAAGAAAAACTCCAAAAGGGGAAACAACAGCTCTAAAAATTACAGATAAATAGATATTCTATTTAATAAATATTCTCCATAAACCAGAATCCAGGAGGGGTTCACCTAATCACTCAATCTTAACACCTTAATCAGAGAGAAAAAAAAAATTTAAAAGGGGCCCAGAGCAGAGAACTAAAAACATCACGAGGGACAGGAAAGTGTCTCCGAGGCACTCACTCAGAGGGTGAACTGTAGACTGATTATGGCCAAAAGGATCAGTGAGCTGGAATGTAATCCTAGAAACTCACTCAGAATATAGGGTTTTTCACACCAGAAAAAAACAAAAAAAAAACAAAAACAAAAAAAAACAAAAAAAAACAAAGATTGAAAAAGGAGAGTTACTAAATTATGTCTTGTCCATGGACAAAAACAATCTTTGTCTTGTTTTTTATAACTAGGTAAATACAGACTTAAGAAACTTGCAAAATGTAGAATAAGTAGTAGCTAAATTCAAAACCAAATCTATGTTCTATAGCTCTGAAGAAGATAAATCAAAGCATATCCTCACAGCAAATAACACATTCTCTCCCTCTCTCTCTTACCCTCTCTCTCTCTCACACATACACAAATAAAAATGAGAAAAACCATAGTATGGAAATCATAAGGAAATATACAATAAGAAGGGTAAAAGCCTTTAAAAATGTTGTCAGTTAAAAGACTCTCCTCTACAATTCTGGAAAAGAAAAACCACCCATTAATGATTAGATCTCCCTACTAAAAGTAACAGATAATCTGTTTTTTTATAAATAATTCAATTACCTCATATTTATTTTTTAAATCCCTAAAATAAAATGACATAAGTTAAAATAAAAGGATAGGCAAATAGAAATCAACAATAGGCGAATAAAAAGAAATCAAGGTGGCAAATAAAATTCAAAGCTTATCCCTATCTTTTCCCTGTAAGTAGTGCTGCCTACCAGTGGCCAATGCCACACCCAGTGCCTAAAGGCAGGCAGTGTTGCCTGTTCTAGTTTATTGTGCTGGACTGATCCCTGCCCCCTTTTGACACATTTCTCTTCCTCTTGTCTCTTTCAGGCTTTAGGTGTCTAGCTCTACAGTATCCCTGATGCCTTGGGACCATTGATTTTGCGATCCAATTCCATTGCTGTTTGTAGCTTCTTATGCACTCAATGCACTCCCCTGATGCAATCAATCCTGAAGCCTAGAGAGTCCATTTCCAAGTCCAATCCCATAGAACTCCAAAGGCCAGCTCAATCCTGGTCCACCCATCAGAGGAGGGAAACTTGGACGTGTTCTTTGAGAACTTGAGGCTCCCAGGCTTCCCTCCATTAACACATAAAGGCATAGTGGTGGAATGGCTGCCACCCTTGTCTGTGCGTCTAGAGAATGGTACACAGGGAGTGGAAGCACAGGCTAGGTGGTCAGCTCTCCATGTTTCTCATCAGTTTTCAGGAGTTGGGTGCAGCTGCTGCCTATGCCCTCAGGGACACCAACAATGTCCCTGTGTTTCCTTCTGCCTCTGGAGAGAGGGAAGGAGAAAGTCACTTAATTAGCCACCTTCTGACTGCAACATGCAGCTTCATCTCTACATTTAGGATGCCTCATCAGTGGGAAATTGGGGAGGGGCGCTTTTGTCATTTCCCACAGTTGTACAAGCTGATGAAGTGATGGACAGACCATCTTTGCAAATTCAAAGCCCTGCCCAGGGGTATGACTCTGGGTTCTTCGGATATTCTCTGGAATTTAGCCAAAGCTCTAACCACCAGGAGGTGCTGAAAGACGGGTCTGCTGACTCTGTTAAGGCAGGAAGCAAAACTGTGAAGGTACAGCACTCTGCTTCCAAGTGAAACAACACCATCAGCCCATTTTTGGAATACCTGAGCAGGAGATAGCTGAATACACTGGAGCCCAGAAGACCTCATGTATCAGAAGCTACTGTGTGTGTTAGGTTTATCATGCAGCATGGAATCTAATCTGATCCATGCACATCCACAGGGCACCTCTTCCCAAAGGCAGTGTGGGAAAAGGAACTTAGACACAGATTGTCTGTAAGGAGAACCATTCTGGCCTTGTACTTTAGTCTCATTGTAGCCCTGTTCTTCCTGGGAGGGATGTGGGACTGAAGGTGAGAAGTACCTGTCTCCAGTTCTACACCATCCTAAACTTGATGCATGGAAGTTGCTCTGTAAACCAACTCCTGGCTCAATAGTACAGCAGATTTTCATCAATGTAAAAAAAAAAAAATTAAAAAATACACGCATGCTTGCATCCATCCATCCTGCCTGGAAATATTCAGCAATGCTAAAAATGATTATCTTTGCTAGTAAGATCATAGGAAATGAGTTTCTTTGTATTTTCCCTTGTTTTTGAAATTTTTTTAAAAGCATGTATTGCTTTTTCAATTGGAAAAATTAAACAAAGCTTTAAGAAGAAAGGACTAGACATTCTGGTAAGATTTTTAGTCCGTTAACTCATTAATTAATTAGGGTAGAATATTCATTGGGTAATTATTTGTTGTTTCTGATATTTGGGAGACTAATTTTCCTGTGGGGGGAAAAATGCCTTCTGCAGGAACTATGGAAAATCCACTCTCTTTTCATAGTTTTCCCAACTTAACTGAGTCTAGATCCATCCAAGGAGGAACACACTGAAGCAGGCTCAAGTCTGGAACCCTGCCCCCACTCCACCCCACCAGCTCCAGACACCCCTTTCCTGGGAAGAAAATCCTCCACAGCTGCCTGGCCTTGAGCCATCTTTGAGGGGAGTAATACCGAGTAATAGCAGTCATGTCACATTATTTTGTGACAAATGATGTCATCATGAGTATCACCATGGACCATGGTTAATGTTTTCTTAATTATCCCAAACGGTTGACATTTTAAGATGTCACTTGCCTCTGGCTTACCACTGGGTGATTTTTTAGTCATTATTAGATGACTAAAAAGACACTTTAACATAATAGAGGGGCCAACACAGGGTCCATGAGAAATTACTGACCTGGGTAAACACAAAATCCTAAAAGTCATCTTTTTTCCACTACTCCACTTCAGGGGCCAAAGACCTAGGTTAGGTTGGGCCACTTACAAAAAGTATAGACTTTGAAAGAGAAAATTCAAAGTTTGAAATACGCTTCACATTTTAAAAAAACCTAAAGTTACCGAATTTCCTGTATTTAGCATAGAACGAAAACTGTTGCTCATGCCATGATGCTCCAAGGACATGAAGAGGGTGTTGATTATGATGCAGATGGTGATGGCCAGCTCAGTAAAGGGGTCGGTCATCACGATTCTCAGGACCTTCTTAAAGCTCACCCACCGGGGGCTACAGTCCCATATGAGGTATTTGGTTGCCAGGCTTTTCCCACACGGGAGGCAAGGCTCCTGGGATTTTTCTTGTTCTGGAGAAGGAGAATGAAAGAGCAGTTGAGGAACTATCTCTGACCCAGTCTGGCTGCTCTCTGCCTCAGTGCATTCCTTCCTCCCTCTTCCCTGGGGTCTCTTGTGACACAACATCAAGAAGGGCACTGATTGTGGAGCCAGAAAGGTTTACCATGTCAACTACTTGTATACAAGTCTTTATACTTATATTGGGAACCCATGGGAGAGACAGGTACAAGCCCTTGTTATGCTCACTCAAAGGCAGACCATGTGACAGCTGTAACAGAGGCAAAAGGAGCTCCCAGGGCTGAGGGGCAGGGGCGATGTTCAGACAGGAACATCTATATGCACTGAGACAATTGGCACTCTATCAGCTGGTTGAGTTCAGGTCAGAAAGCACCTCTGAGTTCCCTGGCACCGTTTCAGGGACTCATGCAGGACAAATGAGGTGATGCAATAGGCACAAAAGTGCTAAGCAACCCATAAGACAGTCTCCTTGCAGGAACTTGAGTCCTTCTTTTGAATACCAACACTTTATTTGGGTCCCTGTTACCTGCTGTTAATTAGGTCCATCACATGGACCCAGCCTGTCTACACAGGTCTGTTGTCCACACCAGATTCCTGACTCTAACTTCAATGGCAACTGCCACCTATGGGAAACTTCTATGTCTTCTCTTCTTTGGCTGATTGTCATTGTCACTGAGACCTCCTATGACAGCCTGGCCTAATCAAGAGGTTCCGTCTGTGTTCTTGGTCCTATTTAACTAGTCCCCACACTACCCAAGCGCTCAGGGTGGGCCTGCGTGGAAGACCCATTTCTTCCATACCACTTTGCTCACATGCTCCAAAAAGACATGGGAAATTGCAAGAAGTACAAGTGGGTGGCAGAGGGCTTCTGGAGCGGGACACTGCCGAAGAGATGGAGAATGGAAGGACAGCACTGAAGCGAGGACTCTTCCTTGGGCTGGAGGCAGAACTTACGCTGCATGGTGATGGTGAGGATGCTGACAGCACTCAGTGCCCTTTGCCTTTGAAAAGTGTCTCCAAGCTCTTCAGAGACGTCTACGGACAGGTTCTGGGACAGTCGTTTGGTTTGCTCTAGGAGGTGTGGCTGGAAAAGAGGACATGGTGGACCTTCTGAGGGAGGATACTGCCTCTCCTCAAAACTTCCCAACTACTGAGTTTCAGTGCCACATACAGCAAAGATGTTCAACATATTATAAAGGTTGACTCATTTCAACACCATGGCATAATAAATGTTTAGTTTTCATATTTCATGTTTAATAAATAAAAGAAAGATGGTTTGTCCACTCATATTTCTTATGTATGTACATTTTTAGAGGCCTACCTAGAGAAATTTTTCTTTCTCTGTGATTTATTCATTGTCAACAAAAGCAAACAATATTTTATAAAAACAAATTGTTCAGGGTATGAAAGCAATCAAAAATGTAATTTGGAAGCAATGTTTGTGAGGGGCAGATGAATTTAAAAAGGTGAATTGGGGCCAGAGAGTAAAGTGCCTTGAATGGCTGCTTAAATAATTTTGAAACAGTTAGTAACTGAAAAGAATGGTCAAAATAAATATCACAAAATCTCTGTACTAAACCTCAAGCACTCTCTCAGGCTGTGCCCAAGAGCTTACTGACTCTACCTTACCTACAATTCTAAATTCTCTAGAGATGAAAAAACATAAATTTTCAGTTATCCAGGAAACTCGAGTATACATAATGACTTATTTCTCAAAAGTTCTGACCAACCAGAGCCCCAGAGGGAACAACTCCTCTGTGATAAGTTATTCTAAAGGCAACCTGTGATCCTTCTATAGCTATTCCCTGTTCTAATCAAAGGGGAAAGACACTTTATATTAGGTGTCTGGGTCCTTGTCGTGTGGAACAAGGAGAAACTTCAAAATATTAAAAAATATTTGCAATCTCGTCAATATGCTGTGGTCTGACAGCAAAGAAACCTCCCAACTCTGCTGCTCCATCGGAGAACTGGTCACAGGAGTGGACAAGGTCGGTCCACCTACTTCAGAAAAGGCCCCCAACCCCCTCCCCCCAGCCTGTCCTCAGGCATGCACACGCACCTGCTGCCCACTTCATCTCCCTCCTGTCTCAGGGATGGCTCTAGCCATGATTCCCTGGCCTGTATCTTCAACATGCTCCCCGTTTCTGACTTCCTTATACACAATTAAAACATGTTTAAACATCCCCCACCTTAATGATAAGAATAGCTTTTTTTTCCTACTGCACATCCCTCTGTAACTTCATTTCTGTATATCCAGCTGACTACTCAATATCTCTGCTTGGAAGTCCCATAAGTACCTCAAAATTGACAGTCCAAAACTGAACTTGCCATCTTCAACATCCCCAGAACAAGTTCCTTTCCTGTCTCAGTAAATTACCCTCCATCGAGTCAACCAGCAAAGCTGTAAACTGAGCATCATCTCTACCCTCTGCATCTAGTCAATTGGTCAGTTGCTGAATTTTACCTTCTGTAAATCACTGTAATCTGTTAACCTCTCTTCATCCTCCCAACTCTAACCATAGTTTAAGCCACTGTCACCTCTTACTTCGATTACTGCAGCAGCTTCTCAGTGGGTTGACTCTGGTTTTGCCCTCCTCCAATCGCCTCTCTTCAAAAACTGTAAATCTGGTCATGTCACTCTTTTGCTTAACCCTTTGATCTTGGTGTAAGAGAGTAAACTCCTTAGCTTGGTTGGAAGGGCCTTTGTGATGGGCTCCCATCTCACCACTACAACCTGTCGTAACCTCCAGCCTCATCAAACACACATGCACACACCAGCAAGTCTTCTACAGGGTCATGTGCTCCTGTTCTCCTTTGCTTCCAGGTCTTTGCCTTTGCATGTGCTGTCCTCTCTTCCTGTAGCGTTCAGTTCCTCCTTTTGCCACTGCCTCCTCTGGAACTCTTTTCTGATCTACTGCCCTCCCCACTGCCCCCACCAAAGCCTGGGCTGGTTATCTGAAGCAGTTGCTGCTGTTGGCCCCACCCATATGTCCTTGGGCCTTAACTAAGGGCCTTCTCTGGTGACCCAAATCCCCTCTGCCCTACTGCACAGCAAATCAGAAATACAGAAAAATTAATCTCTCCTGACCCCAGCAATCTTGCAACCAATAATGGACCAAAGTTGGCATATAAATATTCTAGCACCCCCAGTCCAGGGAGGTTAAACTCCAAGTATCTTCAGAGGCAACTGGCTTGATAATGCACTTCAGCTGGCCACCCTCTCCTCTAGGTATCACTTCTCTCCCTTCTCCGTGTGCTTCCTGGTATCACTTTCTAAGCAGTCTCCTTGCACTCAAATATCTCAGGGTTTGCTTGGGAGGAACACTGCTCTCCCGCAGTGATCATCATGTCAGTCATCACACTGAATAGCAACTGCCTCCTTTTTAGTGTGTCTTCGTCATTAGTTGTTTGTCTTAGACACGTCATGCATCCCCAGGACCTACCCCAGGGTCAAGCAGATAGTAAACACTGTCAACATTCTAAATAGAGGTTTGTAAATAAGTGGGTAATTGAATAGACACAGGGGTGAAAGAAAGGATGTGGAAATGAGTGAGTGGATAAATGAGTAAATGAATGAATGAATCCTTTCAATTATATTGACAACTTGGCCTATAATTAATTCCTTGGCCAACACTTACCTGTTTTTGGGAATCTTCGTCAGAATCTGATCCTGGAACCTGTTCTTTCCCAGACTCTCTGAAAAAGAAGGACTTCCTTTTCTTATTACCAAATAGCTTTCTCTTCTTTGGGGAAAAAGATGATGCTTCGAGGGAATTAAGTGAACTTCTGTCAATTCCCATGGCAACCAGAGCCTTAGAGAATGAACAAAATTAATTAATGAACAGATTATACCTCCCTATGAAACACTGCAAATCACCTCGACCTTACTGAGTTTTCTTTCCTCTTTTCTGGTAGCACTGTACCATGTAGACTGCCTGTCACCTAATCAGGATGCTATCATTGTCATTATATGCCTGAGAACATGTCCCGTTTGCTCATGGAAAGTGCAGCCCTCAAAGGCAGGGTGGATTTTTTCATAGCTCTGTGTCACCAACCCGGAGCACAGTGTTCAGTACGTGCCAGGCACTCAATAAATGTTTGTGCCTGTGATGCAGTTATTAAGCTCATACAATAGATTTCCCCCAAAAAGTGTCTGTGGAGGGTGAGAAGCATATAAAATATGGTCCCTTCCCTGAAAATCTTAGAACTGAACTGGAAAAATGTAAAGATACCAGGAAAACAATGAGAATGGCCTATATATTTGATAGGAAATTCAAGAAGGGAGAGATAATCATGGCTGTTATCTCTAGAACCACCATTATTGACCACATAGCCAGCACTTTAGAATCGGTCCTAGAAGGCCCAAGGTTCAGAAGACCAAAGGGCAACTAAACAGGGTTTCCTGGTCTTAATAGCCCTGTGCCTAGACATCTTAGTGAGCAATAGCAGCAGAGCCAGTCTGCAAGGGGTTTAAATTACCAGACAAGCACCAGTAGGTGGAGAGCCGTGACCAAGCTTCATGCAGCAGCCTGAACCTCAGACCCCACGGCTTCTGGAGTCCCCCTAAGCAGAGCCCACTCTCGGACCCCAGGAGCCCCTACCTCCTTTTCTGCTTTTAACAGCTGTTGGGCTTCCTGGAACATCTTCTCCTTGGCCTCTGTCTCAGCAGCTACATTCCTGTTCTGTTCCTCATAAGCCATGGTGACAACAGCCAGGGTTAAGTTAATCAGGTAGAAAGAGCCCAGGAAGATGACCACCACAAAGAAGAAGACTGAGAAGAGCCCCGAGGTACGCAAGGTCTGCAAGGACAGAGCACACACTGGCATCGGAAATCTTCCACACGGGAGTAGCCATCACTTCAAGCAGAAGTTGCACAGTACAAATTGGTCTTCCCCAGCACTAGTTGGCCCCGCTGCCCACAGCATCGTTTACAGCCTCCCCAGTCACCCAGGGATTCCTGATACCCTCTCTCTCAGGAAGGAGATAACATCCATATGTTCCCATGCAAGTCTCAGTGAATTTTCTATAATTTCCCCTACAGTATTTGCATTTTAAAATTAAAAAGGCAAGAGTGATAGCAATGCTTTATGAAAACTGAAGTGCTAGTGGTGGAACCTCAGGCGGGCAGGAACCTGGAGAGGTGTCATATTTCTAGGAAGAGAGGTGTTTATGCACTATTCTTCCGTATATCACGTTCATAACTTTTTTGATGTTTCTAATAGAATTTCTAAAGCATAATGTAACAGTACCATTGTTAATGATGAAAAATAGATGACAAAGGTAAAGAATAGATGGTAGGTTATAAACAAATGATAGATATATTGAGAGAGTGAGGGGGGAAGATGGTAGGGGAGAGAGAGAGAGAATTAAAAAAAAATAACCTGTCGATAAAGCTTCTCCCAGGAATCTTGGGTCATAAGCCGGAACATGGCAAGAAAAGACCAGCCAAAGTTGTCATAATTTGTATAGTTATAGTCAGGATTCGTGTTGGTGTGCATGCATACATATTGAGAGGAGCAAGTCCTAGACATGGAAACAAAGGAACAGAGAAAGAGTAACATTCCCTATAGCCCATATTCCCTTTCCCCCCATGGCACTGGTTCTTCTAAGAGCCATTGGCTCACACCCAGAAGGCCTGTGTGAAGACATTATTTGTAGAGTGGCCTCTAGAGAGCTCAGTAAACCTTGTGTTAGATTAAAGCCTACTACATCTTGTGAGTTGACCTAATCTGAACCTGTGGCCACCACACAAGTGGCATCAGAAAAGCCTTCCCTACTTTCACAGACAGGGTTACAACCCCTGTTATCTCTCTTAGTATCTCGGTATTTTATAATCCTCCTCACACTTTCAAGGATTTACTCTACATCCCTCTTCACTGCAAGATGTCATCTCACGAGGACAGAGCTCCCTTGTTCATTCATGTGTTCCTTGGACCTAATACAGAGCTTGGCACACTGTAGCCCTTGATATCTATTTGTTATTGAGGAATGAACACAGTTTATTTCATCAGAGCACTTAGCATATTATCTTAATTTGAAATATACTCAACAAATCTCACCACTAATGTCCTAGGACAAAAAAGGGCCAGATAGCTACCAGCTGCTGGGATGAGTGTGTATGAACACACATACAACTATGTATGTAACTAGAGGCAGTGGTGGTCAACAGATCAGCAAACAGAAGAAGCGTGCTCAGGTAGTCTTGCACCAGGGTTATGCCACTGAACGGGGAACAAGAATTTCATGGGGCTCTCAATCATAACGTCATTTCCTACCATTGAAAGTCTTGAATATCCACTCCCCAAGAGTCAAAATATTACTACATGTTCAGCTGGTGTCTGATAAGTTACAAATTCAACAAAACTCAGGGGAGAAAGCTGCTCTAAACACTTGGGGATAATTTTTAATTTAATAACGCATGCGTAAACTTGCTTAGACATATGAAATAATCGATACTGTTTGAGAACTATTATCACTGACTTCCACAAATCATTAGATGAATACTGCTTGCCACATGACTAAAAGGTCTAAAGTTGCTCTGCTTGAGGGAAAAAAGGGAGAATATAAGCTTCTTACCCTTCCGACCAGATGCTACACAATTTGAACTCGGAATCTTTCATTTCAAAGCACGAATCTGAGAAGAAAATAATAAATTCAGATAAAAAATAAATCACTGAAATGAAAGAGAATAGCAAACATACCAGGTTATACTTGAAACAGATTGTTCAGAGCCCTCTAAAGTGATAAAGTGGGTGTCCAGCGAGGAACTGGAGTCTAAGCCATTCAGGGAGGAACAAGAGAAAAGGAGGGGGAGGAAATAGGAAGAGAAGGAGAAGAAGGAGAAAGCAGTTACATACCAATCATGTTTCCTCTCAGGACATAAAACTGAAGTAGAGACAACCCCCCAAGAAAGTTGGACACAGACTCAGCCCACAAGAAGCTCATAAACCAAGACAGACATGGAGAAAGTATAGCCACAGGAGATTCAGCACACATGAAATTGGTGTAGGGTTGGTCTTAGTGTGGAGAAGGTGCAGAATAAGGAGAAGTGACAACATTGGAGAAAATACTCGGGGCTAGGGGCTGGGTAGTTGCTGGTTTGCTTTGGTCAAATCCAGGTATTCTAAAGACTTCTGGAAAACATGTCAAAGAAGGGTGCAGAACTCTTTGTGGAAAAGGATGGGAGCTGACATTGTTCTTGTGGGTGTGACTTTAGGCTTTTCTTTCTCCATAGAAACCCAAAGAACAAGGCCTCTGCCCCCATGAGAACCCTGGATGGATGAAGTCATCCCTTGTGCCTAAGATACTGTAATGCACACATGTAGATAGTATGAGTGGGGATAAAACAAAGTCAACATTGCACAAACTAAGAAATAAAAGATGGGGTTTTTACCGTCAAAGTTACTGGTGTTTCCACAGGTCTTGTTGACACATTTGTAGTTCAGGGTTCCCATGAAGAGCTGCTGACCTACCAGGGCAAAGATGCTGAGGCAAAAGAGAGTCAGGATCAACACGTCAACAAGCTTCTTCACAGAGCGCAGCAAGGCACCCACAATGACCTTCAGACCTGAGGAGGAGGAGGACAGGTGTGGAGAGAAGCCCCAACTCACACACACAACACACACACCAGACACAGGCAAGGGGCAGACACAGGAGAGGGCAGCCAAGGCCTCCGAAGCTGTCTGACTGTAGGTCGGAATTGGAAGCTGGCCTGGCCTGGGAGACTGATGCCATGAATTCTAGTTCCAACTCTGCGCCTTAGAAGTGTGTATCATCAAAGTGTTCCACATGTCTAGGCCTTGGCCTCCTCATCCCTGCCCTGTGTCTGGCACAGGGTTGCTCTGAAGAGCAAATGAGAAGACTTTGAGCAGAAACATGTCACACAGATACAGGAATAACTTGTGACAGCTGTGCAGGCACCTCCACATCTGGGGGTGGGGGGTCACATGTATCATTAAGGCCAGGGTGAGGCCACCCTAGAAAAGGAGCCAGAGTTGTATTTAACATTTAGTAGTCACTACCTACCACAAGGTGCACGAAGTGTCATGAGACATAGCTAAATTGGGGGGCAGGAAGCTGGAAGGAGGAGCTTTGTCTGGACTCAAATTATGAGGACATCCTAGGAAAAAAACTCAGATTACTAGTTATATAAGATTTTTTTTTCATTCATTCAAGAAATGTTTACTAAGCAGCTACTGTGTCCATGGCATACTGTTAGGCTGCCAAAGTTCCATAAAAAATAACATAATCTTACAGTGTTCTGGCAAATATTTAAAATCAGCTCCCTGAGAAGTGGGTGTTGAGGGCTTGGGAAACTCTTCATTTAGAGCATTTACAGAGTTCCTTGTCTGCTGAATCTCATAACATAGATTCCCCATCTCCCGCCACATACCCCCCACCCCCAGCTGGTTTCAAGCTACCAGCATGACATCTCTGGATGCAGAGTTGGAAAAAGACGAGCACAACCTGCTGGGGAGCCAGAACAAGGCAGCCCCAGCACACCGCTGAGCCACAGACCCTGCCCTCCGTGCAGCTGGAGAGATAAACAACCAGATGTGAACTGCAGTGTGTGGGATCATGCTGACAAAGTTTCAGTTGATTAGCATGAACCATGAACAGTAGACTTGAGAACACAAGGCGGCGGCAGCCCTCAGTGGATGACCTTCTCACAAAGTGTGATGCCACCTGGGGAGGAGCCTCGAGGCCAAGCTGGGATATTCACTATGTCTCCAGTTGCAGCCAGACAAGAAATTACTACAACCTCATCCAAGCCCAGGTTTAATCTAAAAGAGGCTTGAGTCTTCTCCAAAGCAAGTTTTGAAAGAAAGAAGATGGTTGTGATTCCTGAATAGTTTTTACACAATCCCGTAAAAGGTTTTACCTTACACCCTTACTTCTAAAAAGTACCCAGGGATCTCATGTGTTCATGAGTCAAAAGGGAGACTATAGTCCAGATGAAGGAGATGGTAAAGCTACTTAGTGACTGCCTGAGTGTATATGAAAGTATGAGGGATTCAGCTCCCGCAGAAACCCCCCAAATCCACCTTGGAAACCAGGTCCACCTTGCAAGAGAGGAAGAGGAGGAGGAGGAGAGACAAATTCCATATAAGTGCCCTCTGACTGCCAGTTTCTTTATCACTGTGTAGTTGCTTTTCTGGAGTTTCTAAAAATAACCCACTGCTTTATTTGAAAAAACCCAAATTGCCTGTAGTTTTGGTATCGGAGCTGTCTTTAATAGAAGAGACTAGAAGGGAAAGAAAGAAGAGAGGTGGGAAAGGACTTCAGAGCAGGAATTTTTTATAAAGATTTTTTTTGGTAAAGGAAAGAGAGAAAACAGGAAGGAAAGGAAGAGTGTACCATAATCACCTCATTTTGGATAAACTGGAATTCATATTCACCACCCACCCTTGGCTTCCTCCTTGACTCACTGACTGCCTTCCTGCCCTGGCTTCCGGAGACCACCTTTGCCTTCCCTCCTACTTTACTGTGGCTCCTGTTCATCTCCTTTCCTGGTTTCTTCTCTTCTCCCCTCCCCTTTAAGGTTGCGTGCCCTGGGTCTCAGACTTTTGTCTTCTTCTATTTTCCATCTATGCTTTTTCTCTTGGTGATCTCATCAGATTTCATGGCTCTCAATATCATCTATAGGCTCATGATTTCAGATTGTTCCCCGGAACTCCCAGCTCATATAAAATTGCCCACTAGCAACTTTCATTTGCATGCTTCACAGCTATCGCAGACAGAACAGGTCCAAAAGGAACTCCTAACCTGACCTCTAGGACCTTTCGTGTCTCGGCCAATGATGACTTCATCTTTCCGGTCGCTCAGACCAAAAACCTTGACCCATCCTTGACTCTCTTCTTCTGCTCACACTACAAACAATCAACCTATCAGGAAATGCTATTGCTTCTACCTTCAAATTTATACAGGACATGACCACTGCCCGCCGATTCTTCTACCACCGCCTGACCTGGGAGCACCACCATCTCTTGCCTGGGTTACGGCAGTGGCCCTTCGTGTTGGTTTAGGTTCTCAGAAAAGCAGATACTATGGAACCAGATTGCAAAAGATTGGTTGGGCGAAATGCCTGTGAAGAGTAAAGGGGAAGAAGTAGAGTTGGCAGGGAGAGCCTCGGACTGTGACCCAGGGCTGTCACCTGAGAAAGGAGAGCAGGAAGAAAGCAGGATTGGGCACAACGAGCGGCAGACTAGTGCTGATGTGACGGTCTCCCCAAGGTTTCTGTCGAGCCCCTAAGCCAAAGTCCCCCAGTAGCGGGGAGCTCCATATCCCTCAGGAACAGTGTCTCTGACATGTAGGAAAGCATAGTCTTGGCATGAACGTGAATGCAGTGCTGAATCAAGACAGGTGGCAGCGGGGACCATTAGTCAACTATGGACCCTGTAGCAGGAGATATGAGCGGCACATTTCCATGGCGACTACCACGCCTCATATCTGGGCTTCCTGCTCCTACCTTCGCCCTCCTGAGTCAGGTCATGCACCTCCTCTGCTCAACGCCCTCACATGGCTCTCATTTATGTAACAGCCAAGCCCCAGTACCCCCAGTGTTCGCATGCCTCCCCTTTACCTCTGCGGTCCCACCTCCACCACCTGGCTCCTCACTCTGTCTGCTTTAGCCTCATTTGAATCCCTTCTCTTCCCCAGTCTTTGGCCTGTCTCCTACCCTCGGGACACTCTTTACCTTCCATCTGCCTGTGCAACTGTCACCACTTCATATCTGCTCACATCTCCCCTCCTCAGCGACACCCATCTTGACCACTCTATTGAAAACTGCAACCCGGTTCCCTAATCCCTGTGACTTCCAGTAGCCCACACGTTGCTTACTTTTCCTTTTTGATTTTCATGGCACATATCATTTTCTAGCATGCTAGATAATGTACTTATTAATTATAGTTATGGCTTAGGGTCCGTCTGCCCACCCCGCGCCTAGACCGTAAACTCCTGAGGGCAGGGGTGTTTGCTCACTGATATATTATCCCAAGCAGCTAGGATAGTGCCTGCGCAATACATATTTGTTGAACAATAAAACAAAAAGTAAAAGCAGAGTTTGTTTGTTTTTGGCTTACACGACATTTGGAGAAATTTTAAATATAAAAGAGTGTTCTCTCCCACTAAGAGTCTAAGAGCCAATGGTGAAAGTTAGAGGGACTTACCAGAAATTACTGAAATTGCTTTCAAAGCTCTCAACACTCGGAAGGTACGCAGGGATGACAGACCGTTGTTCTGGACCTTACTGTATGTCAGAAACCTACGAGACAAAGCACAGGAGAAGCCTGGGTTTTCTCAGTCCTGTGGCTGCACTGCATGCCTCCGTAAGGCAGAAGTAAGCACAGCCTTTGTGCACAAAGGTGGAATCTGGCGCCTCACCTTCCAAAGCCCGCCTTCATCTCAGGGTCTCGTGATATCATTCTCTATTGCTATGGACCATAGATTGTACAGGAGGCTGTTCTCAGCTAATCTTCATATGTGGACAAGGGTGAGAATTCCTTGAAATAGTTGTGGCTACATCCATGAGTAACATAAAGTAATCGAAACGTTTATTGACTGGCCCCAATGCACTTCTCTAAGGTCTTACTATAAGGCCAAGCCTGGAAGGAACACAGGTGGTTTGTCTCCTGGGCGCACACTATTCAGTACTGCACTATACCACCTTTCAATAATGAAGAGCACCCAATTGTTGAACTTCAAGTGTTAAACTTTGAAATGAATAGCATCTACTTCAAAGGGCTTTTGTGAATATTAAATAGGGCAATATATGCAAGTGCTTAAACTAATGGCTAGCTTGACAAATTAATTAATGTTAGGTTTATTATTACTTTGCTGGCGATAGACCATTGCTCTTCCTGCTTTTTATTTTCTGACTCTGTCTCATCATTCAGATGCCAAATTGATGTCCTTTCCTTCAAGAAAAACTTCAATTCTCACCTCATGTAATATACAAGATATACAATAATGAACTTGGAATGGACCAGGGTCTTCAACATAAAAGCCAGAACTATAAAAATTCTAGAAGACAACATGAGACACACTCTTTGTGACCTTGCAGTAGCTAAAGATTTTTTTTGGTTCCTCATACCTGCCCTGACTGCCCGATACATGCACAGCTCCTAGCCTAACACTCACCCACCAGATTGTAATAGTCGCTAATTGTTTCTCTTCCTGTCTGGACTGTGAGCTACAAGAGGGTGAGAATGAGGTATGTTTGTTTGTTTTTTCATTATCACGACCACTGTATCTGACACAGAACCTGGCTCATTATAGGCCAGTGTTTGGTGAATAAACAGCTGAAGGAATGAGAGCATGAGGGTTGGCCTAGAAATAAATCTGTGCATGGAGGTATCTGGCCGATTGCCTGCATGGTGCTGTTCAGGGCCAACCAACACTGCACCCAGAGCTCCAGGCATTATTAGACCACACTTAGCCACTCACATGGATTCACACAGAGCCCTGATGTGAGCCAAGGGGACTTCTTTCCCACCCTATGTCTCTTGTATAAAAATCTTGAACATTCTTACGCTATTGCAATCACAATGGAGTCCAGCCAGTTCCATGGATCTCGAAGAAAAGAAAACTCATCCAGAATAAAACCTCTTGCCAATATTTTTATCAAAGCTTCAAAAATATAAATCCCAGTGAAGACATACCTGCAAAGCAAATCATTGAGAACAAGAAGAAATACAATAAGTGATTATAAAAAGCAGAGAGCCTGCCTGCCTCATCTGGCCCTGATTGGGTTTTATCCATTTCAATGACATTTAGCATGCTGGTCTTTAGCAAACCAGAGTTCAGACAGGCAAGCTTCTCGAGCAAGTTCTGGTAGTTAGAATTTCTGACAAATGGGCCTGTTGGTAAAGTTGTAAAACTGCTTTACAATGCCTAGCTTCACAGCCATAATCTTGAGAGTAGTTTCAGCAAACATGGGATCCTAAGACTTGGGACTGTAGTCTGTCACTGTTTTTCTAGAGTTGGCCCTCTGATTTATGTAAGGGGATAAAGACAAAAAAATAAAAAAAGTAAAACACAAGGGTAAAACCTAAATCTTTCCACATCTCACATTTGTGGATTGGAAGACGATACCATTAAGATGTTCACACTACTCAAAGTGAACTAAAGGTTCGATACAATCCATATCAAAATCTCAATGATATTTTTGTAGAAATAAAAAAATACATCCTGAAATTCATATGGAACTTCAAAGAACCACAAATAGCCAAAACAATCTGGAAAAAGAACAAAGTTTGAGGTCTCACACTTTGTTATATTAAAACTTATCTCAAAGCTAAAGTAATCAAAACAGTGTGGTGTTAGCATATAAACAGACATGCAGACCATTGGAATAGAATAGAAAGCCCAGAAATAAGCCTTCACACATATGGTCAAGTGATTTTCAGCAAGAGTGCCAAGACTATTCAATGGAAAAAGAACAGTCTTTTCAACAGTGCTGGGAAAGCTCAATGCCCACATGCAAAAGGATGAAGCTGAACACTTATTTTACACAATGTAAAAAAATTAACGCAAAATGGATTAAAGAGCTAAATGTAAGACCAGAAAGTATAAAGCTCCTAGAATAAAATATTTGCAAATCCATAGACATTAATATCCATATTATACTCCTGTGATTCAACAAAAAAGAATCAAGTAATCTGATCTAAAAGTGTCAAACCGCTTGAATGGACATTTCTCCAAAGATGATATACAAATAGCCAACAAGAATATGAAAAGATGATCAATATCACTAATCATCAGGGAAATGTATATCAAAACTGCCATATCAGCCTTGTAGTCTAATGGATGGAGACTTTAAAAAAAAACAGAAAATAATAAGTGTTGATGAGGAGATGCAGAAATTGGAACTCTTGTAAACTATTGGTGGGATTGTAAAAAGGTGAAACAACCATAAAAAATAGTATGGAGGTTCCTAAAAAGATTGAAGATAGAATTGCTGTATGATCCAGCAATCCTGCATCTGGGTATATATACAGAAGAATTAAAAGTAGAGCCTAAAAAAGGTATTTGCACACCCATATTTATACTTGCACTATTCACAATAGCCAATAAGTGGAAGCAACACAAATGTCCACTGATAGAAAAAAAGATCAATAAAATGTGGTACATACAATGGAATATTATTCAACCTTTAAAAGGCAGGAAATCCTATGACATGCTACAACATGGATGAACCTTAAGGTCATTATGCTAAGGGAAATAAAACAGTTACAGAAAGGCAAACACTATGATTTTATTTATATGAGGCACCCAGAGTAGTCAAATACCACAAGAAACAGAAAGAAAAAGGGTACTTGCCAGGGAATGAAAGGAAGGGCAGAATAGGGAGTTATTGTTTAATGGGTACTGAGGTTCAGTTTTGCAAGATGAAAAGAGTTCTGGATATGAATGGTGGCAATGGTTGCGCAACAATGTGAATGTACTTAATACCACTGAACTGTACACTTAAAAATGGTTATGATAGTAAATTTTATGGAATGTGTATTTTGCCACAATTTTTAAAAAACTATCTTTTATTTTCTTCCTTGAGTTCCTCTTCATGTCTATCCTCTAATTTATTTCCCTTCTTCCCCTTCTTCTACCTCCTCCAAACAAAACACAATACCCTAGCTCTCTTGTTAGAATCCCAAGCTGTCAAAAATGCTGGGTCTGTGTGCATACACTCGTTCCACTTTTGGGACCAACGTAATCAACTCAAACAGTCTGTTGGTTCAGAATAAAAGTGGACCTTTTCTGGTAGACTATCCAGCCATTGTTACCCCTCAAAGCTACAGAACTAAGTTCTTGAAAACTTGAAAAACCCCAAAGCAGCCAAGTCAAAAAGAAGTGTTCATAAGGTTGACACAGGCAGGAACTCCTCTCTCTTCCAGCCCCTTTTAAGCAGTACCTTTTAGGTGACAGATAAACACAGAAGATTAATTAATGTCTGCTCTGAAATACCATTTTTTTAAAACTCAGGTATAATTTATAAATTTATAGGTATTTTGGAAAAGGCTATAATTGCAGATTTGTGGGGGTTTTGCAAGTCTTCATTTAGACCTTAAGCAAAAGAGACAGCAGCCCCAACTGCCGTTTCAGCCTGACCATCTAGCCTCCCACAGCTGACCTCCCATGCCTACTGTTCTGCTTTCAGCAGAAGCCTGGTACATGGTGGGAGAGGCAGACCAAGATGACATTTGATACGGAGTAGAGCCATGTCCACCAGTAGGAAGCAGGGCTTAGAAGCTCCATAACGGGGAAACTCCTATCCATCTGGCAAATGAGGCCCTCTGGAGTGTGTCACCTTTAGTTCAAGCATAGTCAAGGTATTCAGCAGGTTTTTGGTTTTTTGGTTTTTTAGGTTCAGTTGTTGATAGTTGTGAGTTTGTTGTCATTTTACTGTTCATAGTTTTGATCTTTTTCTTAGATAAGTCCCTTTAACATTTCATATAATAAGAGCTTGGTGATGATGAACTCCTTTAATTTTTCCTTATCTGGGAAGCACTTTATCTGCCCTTCCAGTCTAAATGATAGCTTGGCTGGATAGAATCATCTTGGATATAGGTCCTAGTCTTTTATGACTTCAGATACTTCTTTCCGGCCCTTTCTTGCCTGCAAGATTTCTTTTGAGAAATCAGCTAACAGTCTTTTCTCTTGCTGCCTTTAAGATTCTCTCCTTATCTTTAATCTTGGGTAATATAATTATGATGTACTTTGGTATGTGCTTCCTTGGGTCCAACTTCTTTGGGACTCTGAGCTTCCTGGATCTCCTGGAAGTCTATTTCCTTCACCAGACTGGGGACATTCTCCTTCATTATTTTTTCAAATAAGCTTTCAATTTCTTGCTCTTCCTCTTCTTCTTCTTCTGGCACACCTATGATTTGGATGTTGGATAGTTTAATGTTGTCCCAGAGGTTCCTAAGCCTCTCCTCACTTTTTTTAATTCTTGTTTCTTCATTCTGTGCTGGTTGAATCTCCTCCTTCCGCTCCAAATTATTGATCTGAGTCCCGGTTTCCTTCCTTTTACCATTGGTTCCCTGTAAATTTTTATTTCACTTTGCATAGCCTTCACTTTTCTATCCATTTTGCGACCATACTGAACCATTTCTGTGAGCATCCTGATTACCAGTGTTTTGAACTGTGCATCTGATAGGCTGGCTATCTGTTCATTGCATAGTTCTATTTTTGGAGCTTTGATCCGTTCTTTCATTTGGACTATATTTCTTTGACTCAGCACACCTGTTATGTTCTCAAATATATATTTTTAAAGCTTTAAAAGATACCTTTTGACCTACCAAACATATTTCTAAGACTCCATCCTAAGAAAATAATTTTTCAAAAGTAGCTTTATGCAAAAAGATGCCTATTGTAGTGCTATTCATAGTAGAAAATTTTAGAATGATTAAGCAAGTTATGGTTTATTCACCCAATAAAATATTATGTAGCCATCAAAATAGATTTCTATAGAACTATGTAAGCACAAAGAAAACCACTGAAAAGCTAGACATAAAATTTGCATGTGTGCTGTTAATTACCAATGTATTTTTGAAAGGCCTTTAAAAACAATCATAGCCCTGGCTGCTGTGGCTCAGTAGACTGAGCGCCAGCCTGAGGACCAAAGGGTTGCTGGTTTGATTCCCAGTCAGGGTACATGCCTGGGTTGCTGGCCAGGTCCTCAGTAGGGGGCACGCAAGAGGCAACCACACATTGATGCTTCTTTCCCTTTCTTTCTCCCTCCCTTCCCCCTCTATAAAAATAAATAAAATCTTTTTAAAAACTGTAAAAAAAATAAAAACAATAATAAATATATATATATAAAAAATTAAAATTGACTCTGCTAGCATTGTGTTGGGGAATTGAAATTATGGGTGACTTTTTCTTTCTCTATATATCTAAAGTTTCCCGCTCTCCATATATATATAAAGTTTTTTAGGTATACTTGTTTAAAAACAGGACAGACACTTACTCAGCATAAGTATAATTGCTATCCGTAGCATTGCTTTCCTTTCCACCAGCCGTGGCCATGAACACGCAGTTGATGATGACAGTGCAGATGATAAACATGCTGAACAATGTGACCAGTGTCCATTAAGGCAGGTATACTACAGGATGGCATGTGTCATTAGCTATTATAGTTAAGGCCATGGGTGCCCCTCCAGGTCCCCTTCTATGCAGGTGCACTTGTCCTCTAACTGCGTTGGCTGAGAACAACCTACAGCTGCCCCACGCTCAGGTGGAATGGCAGCCTCCTCACCTGGAAGGCTACAACCCCCTTCCACAAGCCTGACTGACAGACTCACAAAAAGCTAGTCCCTTGCCTCTAGGTGATGAAGTTCTGTGATAATTCATGCCCTGGAGCTCCCTGTGGGCTCAGGTTGACAGAAACTCAGTTGCAACTCAGTCCTTGCTTGCCTCCTCCTTTTGTTTCATCCTGCCTCCCGTTCTCCTTCTCCAGAGAGCACTCCTCTATTAAATTACCTAAATAAAAATCCCTATATCAAGCCCTGCTTCTAGGGTACCCAACCTAAAGAGCTATTCCTTCTTTCTCTTCAAAACTTCATCCTGTCTACCAATCCATGTCTTTTACACCTTCCCCAGTCTGAAACTGTCCAGTGTCTCCTCCAACCCCATACACATCAGAAACACTCAAAGATTCCTGCCTGTCTCTATCCCTAAGACTGAGGCTGCAAACTCAAATTCTTAAGAGCCTGGCCAATAACATAACTGGGTGAAATGAGCTGATGCTGGGTCACAGGGAGGGGTGAACATGGGGTCATATGGAGCTTGCTCATCCTCTCTAAAAGCGGCTGTGGTTCCTCACTACACTGACTTTGCCAGATAGGAGGAGTGTAGGCCTAGCCTCAACAGAGGTTCTGTTTTTCAAGAGAAGCTGGTAACCTGGACTTATAACATTAGGGAGTATTTCCAAAAAGTTCTAAACATTGTGTAGGTCCAACACAAGACATTTATTAGCTAAATATGGTGCACAGGTTGACAGTTTAGAACTTTTGGGTCTCACCTGAGATGCTCCTTTCTCCAGGAAGCCATCCGTGATGCCTCCAAAGCACAGCAGTGCCTCTCCACACTACCACTCCCAAACCACCCATCTCACTAAAACGTCCTGTCTGCTTCTGACCCAGCTCCTTTGGAGGCCAAGGATCCCAGGGCCACACCTTGTTCACACCCAGCACTAGCACAGTCCTGCCATGCAGCAGTAGGCCTTTGGCCACTATTGGTTGAAAGAATGGGCTGTTCCCACTCAACAAACATATGAACACCCTGGGGTGCATGCAATTTTCACTGGACTGGACTTAGTAAAAGATGCAACAAAAGGATATGAATGGATTGAGATTCTAATGGCTAAACTTCGGACTGAGTTGAAAGGCCCAAAAATGAACAAGGCACGCTTGGCACTGAAGCGGTAGATTGTTCTCTTCTTGTTCAACACCATAAATGTCTGCAAAAGACCAAACACAATAGGAATTACATATAGTGACAAAACAATATTTATCATGAGTTCATTTAGAGAAAATTCAGGGGAACTGTGGACTGAGGTATAGACTGGCTTTAACTACAGCTTCTGATTGGAGAGCTATCAACCTGAAGCCTGAGGTGACAGCCAACACTGTGACTCCGGAAGCCAACAGGTGTCCCCAGATGGCCTGGGTCTCACTCAGAGACCCAAGATAAGTGTTGGGCTGTGGCCCGTTCACCTAGAGGAATACTCTGGAGGCCCCAGAGATGGAGCACACAGCCCTGCATGGCCCTGCAAATAAAGAACGCAGATGTGAAGAGTAATAACTGAGGCAAACAAAGCTCTTCGTGTTGTACTCTATAAGGTGTTATCTACAGAGACAAGAACTAGAAGAGAAGTAGAAGAGATGGAAGTAGAATTGAACATTTACATTCAGCAGATTATTCTGATCACTAATGAAAACTTTATAATGAATCATAGAGTAGTTAGGGACCTAGAGAGTCCATATTGCTCTGCTTGAGCAGTTCAACATGCGATAATCTACCAATCAATTCTAACCTTGAGGATCTCCAATGAAAAGCTATCAAGGTTCCCAGACTTGCTCTCCAGTCCCCCCCATGGACATAGAGGCAAATATGCCTGTGGTTCTCACCTGGCAGGGGAAGCTCCACAGAAGGAATCTGGAAAGGCATGTGGGTGTTTTTTGTTGTCACAATGACTGGAGGCACCACTGGCCTTTTGAGGGTAGGTCCAGGGATGCCAAGCCCAGGACAGACCTGCCAAATGCCACATTGTCCCCCTCATAGTGCCCACTTGGGCCCCATTGAATTACACCAAACCTGAACCCATTTCCTCCTGGCATATCTTCCTGGGCTCTGGAATAGAGCAGACCCTGGACAACAACCTTCACTCAACATCAACACCCCAACCTCCCTCCTTCCATTTAACTGCAATCTAGCTGTTCCTTTATGTGTCCTTAAGGCTGTTAGTTACAAAAGCCTTAACAGAACGTGGGTCATTCTTGTCTCCCTGTGTTAGTCCCTTTCAGACTTGCAAAAAGTACTACATGACATGTAATCTAGCATGTTCTCAGAGAGGAAAGACAGGCCTTATCACCAAGGCACAAGACAGCAGGGTGGGTACTGCCTTAGCTCAAGTAGCAGAACTTCAGCTACTGCCAATGATCAACCTTCCTCCACTCAGCTTCTGGAACTTACTTGTATGATGACCATCTGGCTGCAGGAAAATGTGTGGACTAGGAGACATTATGTTACAAAATGAAATGGGCCACAGGGTTCTTTAAAATCCATGAATGAGCCCAGGAGCCCAAGCTCCAGTTCGGGGACAGAGAGCAAACCTATCCTTGAGATGGGTCACCCCAGACTAATAGGTGGCATGACATGGCTCTGTTTCCGTGGCCTTTGATTTTGATATTTTATTAATGTCTCCTGTGACTGCTTTAAATATTTCAACTAATGGCGTATTTAACTACACTTGCCAGGGTTTTAATGATTATAATGATAGGTACCAGCTCCTTTTGTCTGCTTGCTGACACATCTCCACCCCTTTCCCTGTAACTCTTCAAAGTGGGAGCTCCTAAAGAGAGGACGTGGACAGGGACTATATAAAGAGCCCTTGGATTTGAGTCCCAACTCCACCCCTTACTGTCTGTCTGACCTGGCATAAGCCACTTCCCCCTCTAGTCTATGGTTTCCTTATCTGTAAGGCAGAATGTTAACTATCATACATACTTCACATGACTGGTCATGTGAGGCAATAGATACGCAGAGCTCTAAACAAGTATGGTGTCTTTTGATTTGAAGGGAGGACCCAGGCTGAGAAGAGATAGTTCTAGAACATCCATCCAGGCGAGAACAGAGCCTGTCCTCCAGGACTGTTTACAACATACCAAGCTGCTGCCTACCTCACAGGTCTCCTATCCAGCCTTGAGGCTGAAGGAGGCCTCCAGCAGTTACTTCACATTTAATAACTCTGCCTCCAAAAAGCCCCTGGAATCTGGGACAAGGAAAAGGAGAAATATTGGAGTGTTTATGATCCTTCATTTCTCTTCCCTTTTCTTATCCTTCCCATTCATACCCTACTTTCCTTGATACACATGGTCCCCATTTGGCTTGGTAACCCTAAGTCTATCCCAGTTCAAGGACATATGAACCAGGCAATTTTTCCTTTGGAGAAATGAATTTCTCATGGCTGCTAGAGAAGGATGCTCTCAGCATCCCATGTTTTCAAGGACTTCCTCCACATTCCCCAGCCTCCTTCCTCCCTGGCCTCAGTCTGGATCCATTCTCTGCTGGATCACACAGTGAGATGGTAATGGTAAGATCTTCTGAGCCTTTCCTGAAATGGGATGGGATGCAGAGAACTGTCCTCACTGTCCCCCTAGGCTTTCAAACAGCCATCAGAGGAGCACAGAGTTCACATTTCCTCACGTGGGCCCCTTCAACCAACTTCTACTAGAATTTTCCTCCAAGAACTACATCCAGGTAGATGAAACAGCCGGGCTGTCATATACTGGCATGTGGTTTGTGTGTAATCTGCATGTGTCTACTTAATTATCATATTCTTAGTCTTCATTTATTGAGCTCTGATTATGTGTCAAGTGTTGGTCTAGGGCAGTGGTTTTTCATCTCATGGCACACATAAGCTAATTACCAAAATTTTTTGGCACACTAAAAAAAAATATTTTATTTTTTTCTGATCTGACAAAAAAATAGGCAAAATTTTGATTCATTCACAACAAATGGCTATTGTTGTATTGGCTGTTGTCATTTTTTTACTTGACAATCTAAGGGAAAAGAAGTTAGGTATACCACTGGTGACTTTCAAGCTGTTGCCCCAGTGCTGGCGTTCAGAGGGAGTGAGTCTGAGCAAAAGGAATCTGCTTTCTTCCTTGTAGACTAGTTTGCATTAAAAATATTTTATATGGGACCGAAAGATGGCAGAGGAGTGAATGGGAATCATGCAGACCTCTTCCCAAGACCAAACTGGAATTGTGACTAAATGGTGGAGAAATCACCTGGAAAACTATGGAATGATAGAGGGAGAGGAGCCTTGGAGCTGTGGACAGATAGTGGAATCAACTTTCACACATCCTAATGGGTGAGAAGTGTGGTAGAGGCTTGTGAGGGTGGGCTGGGCGCCCACGGGCACCAGCACCAGAGGGACATTGAAACGGCCAGTTAGATCCCCCTGAGAAGAACAGGGTCTGAATCATGTAGTCTAGGGACCCCTAGACTACAGCAGCTGAAACGAGGAAAACACACAGACAAAACGCAACCCCAAAAAGCTTAGGGGCGCTCTCTGCCAGAGACAGGCGGCTGGAGATGCAAAGAGACATTTAAAGGGCCAACACAAAAGTTTGCAGTGGCAGCTGCCTTCCTTGATCTCTGGGTAGAGGCGGCAGCAGAGTGGGCTAGTGCCTGAGGAAATATTGGTGAGGAAAACTTTGTGAAAAGAACTGAGACGGCGGCCAGCAGAGCCCCGGTGATAACTCACCTCCCACTCGGCAGCTACCATCTCAGGCATAAGGGAATCCATGAACCTGCCTTTTGCGCGCTCCAAACACAGCTTGTGTGTGTGTGGGCTGGGGGCTGAGTGCAGACTGGCTGGAAGAAATAGAGGATCCCTGGCCAAAGGGGACACACAGCTGCATAGAGACCCTTGAGGAGAGACTGGAGAAAGAGGGGCTGGGGAAAGAACTGGAGGATTATCTGAGATCCCCAGAGCAGACTCCCTCCACATTCTGTAGGCCCCATTTTGCGCAGGCAGGCCATGCCCCCAAAGAGGCAGAAGCAGGCACGGGAGCCAGAAGGTGTGCGATTACAACGTGATCCGCAGAAATAGTGGATCCCTGGCTGAAGAGGTCACAGAGCTGCCCAGAGACTCTCAGGGAGAGACTGGAGACAGAGGCATTGGGGAGTCCCAGTGCTGACTCTTCCCCAGTCCACAATCTCCATGTTGCTCAGGCGGACTACTCCCCTGAGTGACGGCAGCCTATAAGGGCACGATAGTCCCGCCATCAGGAGGCACTGCTGCGCCCTGTGGTGCCTAAGCCTGACAGATGAGGACAGAGTGACCAGATTGACAATCACAGGAGACAGACACAGACAGCAGATTCCTGGAAGGCTCAAACAAATGGCCCAAGGTCAGATAGGGTCAACGACTGACACCATCAGAGGCAGACCCAGAAAGAAAAGTAAGTAAACAAACAAACTAACAAACAAACAAACCCGACTACTACCATAGAAGTTTAATCCACAAAGTCAGGAAATCTAGATGGATCAATTGAAGCAGAAGCAAAAATAAAAATAATAATAAAAATAGACTCTCCCAAAAATGGGAAGAAAAAGAAGTTCTCTCCAAATGAGGGGAAAGGAGGAATCCCCACAGAGAGAGCTAAATGAAATAGAGGCAAGTGAACTATCAGATATTGAATTCAAAACAATGTCTCTAAGGAAGCTCAATGAGCTCAGCCAGCTCAAAGACAGCTATGAGAAACTGCAGAGAAATTATCAAGAACTTACAGCAAACTATATTAACATGGAAAAGGACATAGAAACTATCAAGAAGACACACGAAGATATGAAGAATACCATTTCCGAACTGAAGAACACAGGAGAAGGAATCAAAAGCAGGCTGGATGAGGCAGAGGGTCAAATCAGAGAGCTAGAGGACAAGGTAGAAAAAAAGCTCCCAGAATGAACAAGAAATGGAAAAAAAGACTCAAAGAGAATGAGGAGGCATTTAGGGAAATGCAGGACAACCTGAAACGGAATAATATCCACATAATAGGGATACCAGAAGGAGCAGGGGATAGAGAACCTCTTGGAAAAAGTAATGATGGAAAATTTCCCCAATTTGAGGAGAGAAAAGGTCTCACGGGTCCAGGAAGCACAGAGGGCCCCATTCAAGAGGGACCCAATGAGGCCCACTCCAAGACACATCATCATTAAAATGGCAAA